GAGGCCAAAGAACACATTACGTCAGGAAATAGAATCAGATATGGAAAGGATGATCAGGAACTGGAAAGGATTGCTCAGGACAGGGTTGTTACGCGACATCTCGAAATATTGGTTACTATTGTTGTAGAGACCCAAACTAGGTACTCTGCACCTATTTACATGTCTTTCAGTGCAGTTGTCAATAACCTAATACATTAATATGTCCTCGTGATTCAGAAGTCTCTAACCTTCTCCAATGTATCACTACACCTTTCAGGTAGTTGGTGATCGGGTATATGTTATACATGTTCCAAGCATCGTACTTGATAAACTATTGCTACCTGATCAATCAATTCACAAACTTTATTTAGTGCTTTATGCCGAAACTTAGCATTGCTCACTCATCGATTACAATATACATGAGCAATGCCTGGAATACGAATATCCTCTATTCGTAATAACCATAATTCATTATCTGAAAAGTAGAATAGAGAATACTGGTATTAAAATACATGATAGCTACTCAACAACATAGGTTTTATATCCAATAAAACAACACTTATGTCCAACATTATCATGACGACCATCATGATAAGGTATTATAAACAATTTGAGAATATCCATTTGAAGGTCACTTAGTCTCCAGTGAATTAAAACTGTACTCATCATATGGTGTAGGAGTAGGTTGGAAGGAAGCTAGGGGCGACCAGACCATAACATGACACAAGTCCATGAAGTCATTGACAAGTGGACTGATAGGTGTAGACTACCTGGTTGGGATCCACGAGACTATAGCAACCGATGATTAGAGACCTTGAATGACATGGCTCAAAATCGTTTGTAATGGTGCAGGTACATCCACTCTTTGTGTCCTCCCAAATTCTAATCTTCTGAAATATTCATGCCCCTATTTTTTCTCGTTCCAAATTTATTTCACTGGATTATACTTGTTGACTAACATCTTCAAACCCTAATGTTTTCGATTACTGTTTTTACTCTTACTACCTCTACCACTATGTGATTTGAATCAACAATTGTATCTGTGTGGTAATATGGTATAGCAACTCGAATTGATGTACGTACGTACGTATGTACGAAGTTCTACATTGTTGTTAACTGACTGACCTATCATATCAAGTAATACTTAATTATTGTTTTACCCTTGAAATACTTTCAATTAGTATTTTCCTAATTATCTGTAATTACTTTTCATTTGAACAACAATTAATCCATATTTCATAGTGTTACACAACATATTACTGATATTCTATTCATCGTAAATAAGTTCATTATAAACAAACGAAAGAAGTAGATTATACTCGTTATTGATGTTAGATATATATATATATATATATATATATATGACAAATTGTCTCTTGTGTTTACCATTCATTACTTATTATATTGATGTTTCAATGAAATACTACCACTGTATACATATACATATATAGCTTGTGTATAACTGAATTTGTCGCCTTGTTCACTGTCAAATTACCAGTTATTGGAAAAGTATACATGATTATAATTCATTGGATACTATTCAGTTGATTACTTTATTATTATTTCTTTTTATACTACTTAATCAATATCTCTAACTGTATATATGCCTATTTAGCCTTAGCAACAAATATCATGTTAACATTGTAGAAAGTACATATTGTAAAAAGATAATAATAACCTCATTTCCAATCATATAAATACATTTAATCATTAATCTTTAGGTGAATATAAAGAAGATTAAATTGCAATTAGTTTATTATTTACATAAATAAAGAAGATCAATACACAATAAAATAATAAATTAACATCAGAGAGAGGTTATGTGAAGATTGTAATCAGTGAATTCATAAGTCAATTGAAACTAGACCATCATGGGCTCATAAATGCTCTGATACGGCTGAAAGTGGAAAGAGTCAACTCTCCCTCTCGAAATGCTCACACATGGCCACGCGTATATAGCCTCTGCCAGGGAAGTCCTACTCAATGCCTCGTGACATTACTGTTGTTTACGAAATTGAGAAGACGAAAAGCGAACATTTGGCTCTTTAATCGGGTTGGTGGACATGGAGAGTCTACCTAAGGGGGTTGGAAAACCCTCATTCAAAACCAATGGTGCTCATGGGCTCCAGGATCCCGAGGGAACAAATTGAGTATGAAACAATTATTGATGACCGGCTACCATGGGAAGGCATCTCGTTACGTTGCTCCACTGGCTTGTGAATCAAAACTTTAGGCTGAAGGCTCCGGTTGTGGTTCTCTAAGAACACCACCTGCTTCGGTTTGGGCACCCGAGTAGTATCACAGCCTACACACAAATCAAGCGACTTGTGTGGCACATATGTATTCGGTGCCCCTTTGAACTAATACTTATGTGTTCACATACATAAATTATATCACGGGATGCATAAATGTTTATGTGTTTAAATAAATGAAATAAAATAAGACCACCATGGAAAACCTGGAAGTACTGAACAGCTGTTTTATCCTGGTATGGGACTCCTCAGCAGTGTGTATCCACGACCCCGCCCCGCAAGATTCGAATCCAGGACATATTATTCTCGAACGAGAACGCTTAAACTTTAATTTACTGAGCAGTGGTTTGAACAGTTGATTGAAGTGAAATTGGATAGAGACTTTCAATATGAATGAATTATGACGAGTTGATTGTAATTAAATGATAATCGTAATAAAATCCAAATCTAGTATGATTAGATAATTACAAAACTATATTGAAAAGTAAAATTAATATTACCATTAGACGATCGTCGATCTTTGTCACAAATTGATATAAGTTGTAATTGTACCATTGATAATTAAGTGTTTGTTTCAGTACCACATAGTTCTCAATTCAAATACGGACAGAGTCTTGTGTGTACAGCTATCCGGTTCTCTTTAGTTTTTAATGCTCCCCTAATTAACATTGAATTATAATGAATACAACCTACAAGTTGAATTAAAATTTCCCCAATTCTGTCCGACTAAAACTCATAAATGTTTCATGTTTACTTACTTGAAATGTAATCTCTATGGAAGACCTAAATTCTGGAAATGCACTACTTCATTGGTCAAAGCTTCATCGGTTATGTAGGTGTGTGTGTGTGTGTCGATGTTCATCTTTAATGTTAAGTACTTGAAGGGATGCTTGTGATTTTTATTTTAATGTTGACAGTATGACCTGTCTCAATAAGTAGGTATTTGTGTACAAATTAGAATTGTTTTGATTTCTTTTGACTTGACCACCTTCCTTTGTCTATGTTTTCTTGTTTGGCCAGATGAATGAACAAATCGTTGGTACTTTATCAATTGTATTTTGAATTTGATTTACTATTTCCTTTAGGGAAATAAAACTATAATTGAATAGATTGATTCATCATCTATTTTGGGTATTAATAAATTGATGTGTTTGTTTTACAATCTTTCTAACAATCTAATAAACGTGGAGTAAGCAAATTTTTGTTTCGACTCCCAATGGAGCATAAGCCGCCGACCAGCATTCTCTAACCCACTCTGTCCTCCGCCTTTCTTTCTAGTTCTATCCGATTTTTTTTTCATTCTTATGTCTGTCTCTATTTCTCGGTGTTATGTGTTCTTTGGTCTTCCTCTTTTCCTTTAACCTTGAAGATTCCATGTGAGGGCTTGTCTTGTGACACAGTTGGGTGTTTTCCTCAATATGTGTCTTATCCACTTCCAGTGCTTCTTCTTGATTTCTTCCTCCACTGGGATCTGGTTTGTTCTCTCCCACAACAGTAGGTTGTTGCGGATGGTGTCTGACCAACGGATCCGAAGTATTTTGCGTAGACAGCTGTTAATAAACACTTGTTTTTTGGATGATAGCTTCCGTAGCTCTCCAGGTTTCCACCCCATATAGTAGAACTGTCTTGACATTTGTATTGCAAATTCTGTTCTTGGTTTCGACTTGTAAGCTACTGATCAAATGTGATTTTATTAAAATTTTATGGTATCTGATTTGTTGTAGGGCTGTATTCACATACACATTTCACTGTAAATATAAAATCGTGGTTAGGTTACCTATTCGTACCCACAGTTTTGATTGATATAACTCATACATATGTCCTCAACGCTTGTCACATATAGCATGTAGTAGTTCAACTTACCATTCTGATGATTACACATTTCAAAGGAATTTGCATATTGGACATATACATGTTTGTTTTATCGATAAGATGTTCATTGCATGTTGACCAGGAATTATATCATGTGCAACTCGATAATTCAAACGTTTGCTCATTCGTTGTAAAACCATTTCATCTATATTTTGTTTGATCAACTGAGTTATATATCTATTCCTATACATACGCTAACTATGGTTAACGTTGTTTGATTTCAGAATTGATTTACATCACTCATATCTTACACATTTGTCGTACAACATACAATACAGGTAAACTTCGTGTAATAAATACATCGGAGAGGTTCATTAATCTCATAGAGTTTCATAGGTTTGTGACGTCTGAGGAACTGTTTACACATTTTGACTGGAGTTTTTAATAAAGTTAGACATTGTATAGCAGGGTGTCCAGAAAACATGTTTTGTCCTATATGGGTCTTTTCGACTGAATACACTTATACCATATTATTAATAATTGTATCGACAATCAAATCCTGTACCGTACGTTTCAAATAACAAAACGTCATCCACTGGAGTGCTGATCTCGGCTGAAGTCCTGTAGATCCCTCAATCTTTGATTGGTAACTTTGGCTTTCCAAATGACGTCAAAATCCAGCTATTACTAATAAAAAATATATTCATTTTCTTCTATTTCTATGCAAAATTGTACACATCTAACTATGCATTGGCTTAAATCCTTTCCCGTCTAGCTTTAGCATAACGGAATTTATTTTATTGGATGTGTAGGATCAATGTAAACGGCCGCCAATATGCTTCTTACATGAATTTTTAAAGTAACTCATTTATAATTCTTTGGTTCCGTTTTTCTAATCAATCGTGCAGATGATAGTTATTTATTCACCAATGTTCAATATACGTATTTTTATTTCAGGGTAATGGATCAGAAGCAAGTCATATTGCCAATACACTTAGTACAAAATTAAATCAATTATCTAGATTATGTAAAGATTTATCATTACGTGATCATAATGGTGGTGGCGTTGGTGATCAACAGCATCACACATGTAATCCATTATTTCGTTTGGCTAGAACACTTGAAGGCAAATTAGTTCAGGCTCAACGTTGGCTAGCTGATCCTCGTGGTCCATTACGTCATGTTGGCTTAGAAGCATGTCGTTCATTAGCTCAAGGTGCAAGAAGTATTATAATGTCATCTGATAGTAATGATGCTTCTTCCAATAACAATAAAATAAATGCTAACAGTAGTCCGTCTGAAGACAAGGGGACCAATGATGCTTGTTTAGAATCATGTGAACATGTTGAGAGAGTTTCTGACAAACTTTTTGCAATATCTTCTCAACCATTAAGTAAGCACCATTACTATTATTTCGCTCTCTTCTATATATGTTAATCCAATGTACAAAATATTGATCATATACAAGTTCCACAATTGTTTTCAGCATGCAAAGTAAATACAGTGAATTTGAATATTTTGAATAATCCCTGTTATATTAGGTATATGTTTTTTGTATAGGAGTATCAGAGTGGTGCAGTTATTCGACATTAAACTACTAAGTCGCAAGTTCAAGTCCTACTCCTCCATTTTCGCTTCGGGCAGCCATGTATCATCTCTTAACTATCCTACGAAAAGTGTAACCGAAAACCGAGTACACGAATATATACTTTTTAAATAAGTAACAAAATGTATGTCTCTTACTCCAGAACTGTGCTATTTTTGTCAACATCACCAGGAAATCGAAAATAGACATATACATCAAGAGTCACTGAAGTTCTCACTTGATACAGACATATACAAATGACTTAATTGGTATGATCGAGATACCATCTAATAAACACAAATTAAATATCGATATAGGGTTATGGAGATTGTTAAGTTTTTGATTGAAATCATAAATCGATCGATATTAGATCACCATTGATTAAAGTCAAATATGAATACCGTTAGATGCTAACTCAGTTTTCTGGAGTTTAACTATTTGTGTACAAAATCAAAGGTTTCTAAATTCGAATACCGTAATTAAGATCATGAATGTACAAATTTTTTTGAATGATGATCTAACATCAATCAATTCATGATCTCAAACAAATTAAAATCATGTGAAAAATGAATGGCATTATTAATTAGCAAAATTTGGTAAGAAGAAGAAGAAAATATGTACGTGGGTATTATTCATATGGTAAATACCATGAAACAGTTGATCTAATTAATCACTATGTAAATGTTATTATCACATGATCAATCTAAATAGTTCACATTTTCCTAAGAGCTGAATAAGAGATCAAAAGTACATTTTGGTATTGAAAATAACTCTTTATTTGTTCATGTTGATTTATTGATAGTGTATAAAATAACAATGATACTCCTTCATTAACATTTTAATTTGATTATATCTCTATTTAGCCCCTAAATATGTCCTGATATGGCTTGAGGGTGGGGAGAGATAGCTCTCTCTCTCTCTCGAATTGGCCATGAGTATATAGCCACTGCCGAGGAAGTCCTACTCATTGCTTTCTCGTGATATTACTGTTGTTTACGAAATTGAGAGAACGAAAAGCGAATGCCTGGCGCTTTAAACGGATTAATGGACACGTGTAGGGTCCACCTATGAGATTTGGAAAACCCTCATTCCAGACCAATAGTGAACATCGGCTCCATGATCCTGAAGGATGAAATGGTCTATGAAACAATAGTTGGTCGTCGGCTAACATGTGACTACATCTCCTTATGTTGCTCCACTGCATTGTGGATCAGTCCTTTAGGTTAAAGGCTTGGGGTGTGGTCCCCTAAGAAAACCACCTGTTTCGGTTTGGGCACCTGAGTAGTATTATCACAGCCCACATACAAATCAAGTGACCTGTATTCAGTGTCTCTTTGTACCAATATTTATATGTTCAGTTAAATAAATAAATCTATTTAGATTATTGAATCACTATTTACACACGTTATTCGATCGTCAGTGATTGTTTTGATGTTCACTTACTATATACAAGAAAAAAAAGGAAGCTGAAAAAACCATTTGGACATATATTCTTCGCGGAACATGTTGGTGTTCGAAGCGGTATTATTGTTGATACATGGTTTCAGTCAGTACTTGTATATAACGTTTAATTTTAAATGTATAAATTCAATGATAAACTTCATTGAATATAGGTCTCAAGTTAGAACAAAATAGTTTACCATATAATCCGATACTCCTCATTGATTATCCGAATGTGATTTAGATTCCTGTCGGATGGAAGTCGTATATTTCAACTATCGAACGATAGTTTAGCTTACAATTGATTGTATATAATCTGCAGGATACTTTAGACCTAATTTTCTTGCTAGTTGTGTAAAATCTTAAGGAATCTGATGTTCTCAGTAGAATCTAACCAAACACCACCCAGCTCCACAATCTGAGACTTGACCACTAAACGTTTCAGGCAGCAACTGACTTCACGTAGGACTGACATATTTGCAACCGATTGATCACGAATCAGTGACAAATGTCATGTTTGTCTAGTCCTTGGTGCTGATGGAATTCTATCAATGAAGTTTCAGCATGGTTACTTGTCTATGTGACTCGGGTTCGAATCCCGCACTTTGAATCAGTTCCTCCAAGATAACAGGTGCACTTTGCTAACAAACGGCAATTAACACAAAACATAGTTTCAGCACTTCCTACCAACCTTAGAACATCCCAACATCATGGATGTGATGCTGATGCTTAGATCGGTGGTCACATTTGAGTTTGATCGATAGGACTTTATCAGGATTTAGGATTAGGCATACATGACATTGATAACTATTCAGTTATTCTTTAGTTAGAAATGAATACCAACTTTCTGTTGTTGCTTCATATGATGTCAGTTCATGAGGAGAACTATGGACGCCTTAGTTGTAAGTTTAGTATTTCAACTACTGAACGGTAAGTTTGTTTTGCAAGTAGTTGGATTATGTCATAGCTTTTTTTCTCTATCTTACAATACTTTGATTTGATTGCCTCATTAAGCAATTTTTATGTTTGTTTGTTTGTTCTTTTTTCTTTCTGTATAAAATTATCAGCGGCAGAAAATGAAATCAGTCAACAAGATTTAGCAATGGCTATCAGTCGTAGTTTGGCGTATATATGGCAAACATTAGAGAAATTATTAACAAGACAAATTGCTGAAGTCTACACAGATCTTGTCGGACCATTACGTCAATTAGTAGAATCTGCATCTCCATCATCTGGTAATTTACCAGATCAAAATGATTACAATGTGAAAATGAAAGAATTTCTAGTAAGTGTAAATTAAATCTACAAACTATGAATTACACATACTAATTGTATGAAGCCGATAATTTACTAGTTATGAAGTATTCAACTTTAAACAGGATATGTTATAGATTCAAAATCCTGTTCATTAAATCTGGTTTAAATACACGAATGTCCGGCGCTTTAACCGAGTTAGTGGATATGGAAGATCAACTTAGGGGGGGTTGGAAAACACTGTTTCCAAACCAATCGTGAACATGGGCTCCGCTATCCTGAGGGGACAAGTTGAGTATGAACCAATTATTGGTGATCGGCTGCCGTGGGACTGCATCTCTCGATATTACTCCACTGCCTTATGGATCAGATATTTAGGTCGAAGGCTCCGATTGTGGCCCCCTGAGAAAACCACCTGCTTCAGTCTGGGCACCCGAGTAGTATCACAGCCTACATACAAATCAAGTAACTTGTATGGATCATATGTATTCGGTGCCCATTTGTACCAATATTAATGTGTTCAAATAAATAAATCAAGTACATTCATGGGTCAATATCTATTGCTCTTATTTGTATGTATACTCCCACTGTAAAGTTAATAAGTTTCATTATACAGATACAACCTACAGTAATGTCTTTCATTATCTTGAAACTCGAATACAAATTATGACTAACGCTAAGTTTAATATCCTGAAGTTATTCATGATATATATTTTTTATTCATTCATTTTGACTAAAACATAAAAACCAGGATACAACAATCTGTATGATTGAAGGTTATTTGGAATATATCTTGAATTCATAATATAAATGGGGATGGATCGTGAACATTAGTGTTATGGTTCGTTAACTTGAATGCTACTACTGATTCGTATTACTCGAATGGAACGAAGGATCAATGATACAGAGACTCGATAGCTATCCTGGTCCGTTGCCCCCAACTCTGCTAACTCGATTAAGAAGTCTTGGTAAGGTGTAGAAAGTGTATTCTACCGACAAACAACAGATAACAAATCAAGTCAAGCGTATTTATAATCGATATCGTCATGAAAAGGTTTTGAACATTAATCAATAAGTTCGTCAGTGGACTGCTATTTAAACATTCAATCGATACTTCATCAATTGACCTATTTGCACATTTAATCGATAAGTTCATCAATTGACCCCCATTCAAATATTTAAACATTTAATCGATAAGTTAATCGATAAGATAAAATTACAAAATATGTGTTTTGGGGATCTATTATCCCCAACAATTAGGTTCTATTATTTGTGGTCTAGTAATTTAATCATTTAACTGTTAATAATTGACTAGTAAAGGTTTGTGATTTCCCAATGTGAATATTTAGGACTACTATTGATTACTCTCTATTGTCATATTTGCATCCTTAACTGATTACTTCGACATGACATTTAGTCACAAATTATAGTATACCTTAGTGAATGTGTTGTTGATTGGACTGTAAGGTATCGAACCAAATTATCCATCTGAAAAGACCGTAACAGGACGAAGAACGCTTTTTTGTAGTTCACTACTAGTCAAATATCAAATATATTTCAATAATCATATCACAATTTTGAATAGTATTCTCTATCTACATATCTTATTCAATAAATCTTGAAGTTAGACATTAACTTCGTTGGATGCCGACTGGCTCAGTGGCCTAGTATTAAAGCGCTCGCATGCGAGACTGATAGGTCCTGGGTTCGAATCTCGCGAGGCGAGATCGCTGATGCGCACTGTTGAGCAATCCCACAACAGCCGTCCAATGCTCTCAGGTTTTCCATGATGGTCTAGCTTCAATTGACTCATGATCTTTATCCAATTCACGTTACTATGGTAACATATATAGATTCATTCATTTGATCAAGACATATGCCATATCTTCTTCTTGAAGTACTGATGATCTCTCTATGATTCATTGAATCATTACGGTAACTTCAGTTATTGTTGTGTGTGTTTTTGTTTCTATTTAATAACTCTTACTAATTGATAATATAATCTAGAATTTGGAAGAAATAAGATTAGTTTCTTGCAAATAATCATATTGTATTCTATTTTATTTCTAGTTTGTTTATTTGTCTATATAAGTTAGATTCAATTGTTTACTTTAGATGTATATGTTTAGTGATCATTTATAGTTATAGGTAAATCAAGTGATGAATAAGTTGTTGTGTTTATCTTCTTCTTTTACCATTACTACATCTTCATCATCATCATCATCGTCGTCATCATCATGATCTTCTTGACTGATCATAACAGATTTCTCTTGTTATTAATTGACACTCAAAAGTATTTCAAGGTAAACAAATGTAAGAATAGGTTTAATGTGTTTACCAATAATTTTTCAACTACTAATGTTAGAAGATTATATTACTGTATAGATGTATTAGAGGTAATAGATGGAAAAGAATTTGTACGAATTATATATATATAAATGATTATTATTGATAGAATAAGTTATAGATAATGGCTACTTTAATTGTATAAGCAAATATAATTACCAGAGCTTAGATATGCAAATAAAATGAGCTAAAAATACCCCCAAATTCCGTGTTACGGCCGAGTGTGGGGAGAGTCAGTTCTCCCTCTCAAATTACTCTCACATGGCCATGTGTATATAGCCACTGCTAGGGAAGTCCTACTCACTGCCTTCTCGTGGCGGGGGTGTTATTTACAAAAATGAGAGGACGAAAAGCGAATGTCCGGGGCTTTAACCGGATCCCAAACTGATGGTGCACATGGGCTCCAGTATCCTGCGGGAACAAACGGCGTATGAACCAATCGTTGGTCACCGGCTACCATGGGACTGCATCTCCTTACGATGCTCCACTGCCTTGTGGGTAAGACCTCTAAGTCAAAGGCTCGGGGAGTGGCCCCCTAAGAAAACCACCTGCTTCGGTTTGGGCACCCGGGCAGTATCACAGCCCTCACACATATCGAATAAGATTTGTGTGGCGCATATGTATTTGGTGCCTTCTTGTTTCTTGTTTTCTTGTGGCGTATATGTATTTGATGCCCCTTTGTATCATTATTTATGTGTTTAAATAAATAATAAAAATAAACTAGTGAAAATTATTGTCATCATGAAGTATCTCTTCTAATGAATAAATTGAACGATAGTTTCGGTAAAGTGAAATAAATATTCAGGTTCTCCTGTTGTAATTGATTGTTAGTTGATACATCAATATTGTCTGGTGTTTTGAAGTAATGCCTGAATTTAATTCTTGCGAACCATCATCTAGTTCTTTTATTTGTCAATTTTAATTGTTACTAAAATTAATGATATTAACGGAAAACTTCTAGAACATTAAAGCTATCGGTTGTTATTTAAATACACCTTATATAAATAAACTAACTAGATGAATGATTAAGCATAAATTACTTATGAACTATTGGTTTATTGTACTCATGATCCAGATACGCATTGTGACAGTTAGTGATGCATCTAATTAGTTGTTTTTTTCAAGCGGATGGTTTTCTTGACTCCCTTATCAAGTACATATTCGTGTGCTTAGGTTCGAACTGTACTCTACTTGTGTGGGCTAGTGATACTAGTCAGGTGCTCATATTGAAGTGGGTGCATCATGGTTGAATCGGACGACTAAGTTATTGAACGTTGGACATCTTAACCACTGAGTCACCAGTTAAAATCTTAATACTTTAAAATTATTATATTTTGTAGATAAATTGTACTTCATATTTCCGTTTTACACTTCATTCGATGTTTGAATACAGAAGGTTAAGAATCGACTCAAGCTTCGTGGAGCTCGTTTTACGTTCGTATACCCGGGAACCTTGTGGCACCGTCTGGTTTTGTTGGTTTTGGTGCTGCATTAAGGTCAGATCTACAACACGTTGCTGCGAGCAGTTTTGCCCTATGTTTGTGAAACCTGACCTCTCCGAGTTTAGGATGTTAGACGACTCTCTATTTGATCATCGTTGTCTCCGATGGATTTCAGACATCCAGTGGCAACATCATGTTAGTAATGCAAAGGTTCGACATCGTGTGTTCGAGAACAGCAACTATTATTCAATTAGTGTCACTATCTTGAAACACTGACTTCGGTGGCTTAGATATATCTTATGAATGTCGTCTCAGAGAATTCCACGTTGTCCATTATTTGTCGACTCTGGGACCGGTTGAAAAAAGCGGAGGTGGTCAGTATATGACACAGTGTCGTGGTGTGAAAGGAAGCTGTATAGGACTTGCTTCTGTTAGTCCTTCAGGACTGCCTGCTTGGGATCCTAGTAATGGTGCAACAAAGTGGCTAGAGACGTTATCGTATATGGCTTAGAATAGAAGCCAGTGGCGATCCTGCTGTAACTTGCTTCTACTTTCTTCATAAAAGTAAACGTAGCTTCTTTAACTGAAGTAATTCTTTCTGGTTGTATTTTTGTTAACTGAACTGTCTCTCTCATTATTATTTCACTCTCATACATTAATTTCTGTTTTTTATTGTTCCTTTTATTATACTCACCTCACGTTCTCTATCTCTTCACAACCTTATTATTATTGTATGACCCAAATGTATTTGTTGCCTCGTTGTACTCGATTGGTCACTGCTTCTCACTAGAACTCCAGGATGTATATCTTGAAGCCAGTCACCGGTGAGCATATGTTGATTAGTATCAGAAGGGGTTTTGTGGAGATTGTAGTAATTTAAACAGTTGCGATCATGAGTCAATTGAAGCTAGACCACCACAACAACAAAAACTGTAATTTTGTAATTCCGTATATTTAATTTTCTTATAACATAACTTCTTGATCTAAGAATATATTCACTTATAAATTGTATTAATTTGTATTAGACGCAATGTAATCAACTTGTCAATACTGGAGAATTAGCTGCAGCTACAAAATTATCCGATGTATGGCGTTCTGATGCATTACGTTGTTTAACTAGTCAACTTAATGAATTAGGTGCACAAGTTGTATTAGCTGGTCGTGCAGTTATCCTATCAGCTGATCCAAATTTACAATTACAACCTGGTGGAGCTAGTTTGAAACAAGCCACGTCAGATCATTTTCTTATGATGCGTCAACATTGGACAGATACTGCTGAACGTATGAGGGCATTAGTTGATGAAGCTGTTGATGCTAATGCATTCATAGCTGCTCAAGGTAAGTTGCACTTATACATATCAAATGTTCTTTGGACTTTGTAATTCAGAACAATTGATTACTTATTGTTTCATGAATTAATCATTACTTATGTGCTAAAATCCAGTTGTTATAAGTTGTATGTTAAAAAACTGTGATCTAATACACAATGATGTATTTATTTAATTTGCTATACCCGTGATCACCGGGTAAGTAGTAGTGAGGTTTTGATGCACGGTACTAGGGAATGATGGTAAATCAGTTGATGAGGTTGTAAATCTTCATCGACTGAGAGGGTTGGGTCACGTGTTACGTATCCCTGAACACTGATTGCCACGACGCGCACTGCTGACTAGTATTGGAGAATGTTGGAAGAAAGTTAGGGGAGGTCAAACGAAAACGTGACATCAGTGCTTGAAGTCACTAACTTCCAGTCTGAACCATGTTGGTTGATGCAGACTACTTGGTTGGGTTCCGTGTGACTGTCGTAACTACTGATTGGAGACTATGTGACATGACTCAGAATCGATCACAATGGCGTATTTGTATACACTCTCTGTCTTCACTTAAACTATGAGATTAAAATCCTTCATATCTTTCTTTTTACGAACTAATTCTTTCTTCATGTATTATATCCTTATACGCAATCTTTCTTTTATGTATATTACTACCATTGAATTAACTACTTCTATGAATTTGGTGTTCATGTTGTTGTGCTAATGAGTGAGTTGTGGCAACTTGGACCGATGTATATGTGTGTGTCTGGGCCTACATTGTAGCTGACCGACTAAGTTATGACTTTGAAAATAGTAAAATCAAAGATTGTTTATATTGCGTCATGCTAGTGTGTGTATTTACTCGTTCCTGATGTTTTGGTATCAGATATATTTTTTATTTCATCAGTGTTAGTCCAAGTTTAACTTACTTACTTACGCCTGTTACTCCTCATGGAGGAGCATAGACCGAGTTCAAGTTTAAAGTGATGTTAAATTTTATATTCTTCTCATTCACTTGTTCAGTGCCTCAATGAATAACAAGGTGTCTGTATTTAACACTAATTTGTGTATATATGAGTCTCTTAAATAGTGCCAGTTTCATCATGATCACATATACACACTTTCTATTATGTCCTAATCCGTACAAAATCAGATCTAGAGTTTCTTACCACTTGTTTTCGACTATCTGTCAATGGTACTAAACTGTTATTATGTCATTTTATTTCAATTTCTTATATTAGCAATCACTTTTCATGAGACATATTGCCTGGAGGTCGCCAGATCTATTTTACTAGTTACTGCCACCAACCATTATAACGTAATAAATCTGTTTTTAGTTGAAAGTTGTATTAATTATTCCTTATTTAGATAGAAACTAAATAACGTAGCTTTGTCCATAACAGCCGATTTTGACATGAACTAAACTAAAATTTATGAAATGTTCATATCCATATATCAAATTTAATGAAAATATCTGACTTCATTCGTTATCCCTCATTCATTATTGCAATTTGTTGTCACAATAATAGTGCACGATCATGGGCTCCAGAATCCTGCGGGAACGAATGAATCAGTCGTTGGTCACCGGCTACCATGGGACCGCATCTCCTCACGATGCTTCATTGCCTTGCGGATCAGACCTTTAGGTCCAAGGCTCGGGTGTGGCCTCCTAAGAGAACCACCTGCTTCAGTCTGGGCACCCGGGTAGTATCCCAGCCCTCACACAAATCGAATGATTTATGTGGCGCATATGTATTTGGTGCCTCCTTGTACCAATGTTTATGTGTTTAAATAAATAAATAAAATAGTGCACGATCATTACTATAACCATAAAAATCGTCAAACGAGACTATAATCTGTGAACGACCCTGAGCGTTTCTAAATGTGACCTTGAGTAATTTCAGTCAGTTATTATGTTCAAAATTAGTTTTTGATATTTGGATTAAGGGTTTTCATTACAAACTCAGATCAGTTATAATGCAAAAATGCTCTGTCACATGGCTGAATAAGGTCGGCAAAATTTTTCAAGAGATGTTATCTTAAATCTGAATGATTCGCTCGTAAATTATAGTCTCGTTGTTAGTAAAAGATATTTTCCAATCGTCAATACAAGCCTTAATGACATTATTTAATACTCATCTTTCGTAGGTAACGAATCATTGAGTAGTGGCTAGCTTTACGTTTGCATAGCCCTTTAGTGCAGATCGATTTCCGTCTATTAAATTACAATATAACTATTGATTTGAGTAACTCGACACTGCGTTCACTATGTTGAAATGTTATAGTCGCATCCCGACTACCTTTACCCACCTAATATTCTTGTTCTATATAAAATAGCTAGTTTTGAGAAACAGTTTGTACAAGGTATATTATAAAGACCTATTATTGAATATTATTCATTTGAAATGATTTTCCCCACAGTAATATCGATTTGAAATATATTACCACTTGAATACTTCCCTTATATTAAAGTCTAAAGTGCTGTTTTAGAGGTACCAAACTAGTATAAACCAACTATTTACTACTCTATCTTTTTCATTTGTTCTTCTGCTACTGACAACTCGTTTGTAATGAATAATAATCTAATAATCATGAGTCACTTCATTGGGAATCCAGTTCATCTCATGCTTTACAATGTCAATCTTACTTGTAATCACTTCAGCTTTTGTAACCTAGTGTATATCCACCAAGGGTTTCACAAAAAAAATTGTGACCTTAAGTTAAGTACACAAACCTCAACCTAATAAGTGAATCACTTTATTATCAACGATTGGAATTAGTGATGGCAACAATTTGACTAAGTAAAAAAGTGTATTATCGGTTATTAAAACTACAATTAGGTTCTGCGTGAGAACCATGATCAGTGGTTGGCGGTGTTCAATGATATGGTTCGAAACCACTAATAGTGGAGTGAAATTAGTCACTGTTGATCTTTCGTTGTATTTTAAATTAGACTTTTCATCCATGCATACCTTATCATTCTGTCCTTCCGAACTATTTTCTCATCATCATTTTGATCATTTGATCTCATCAGGCTGATATAATATGATAGCTTTGGTTAGATCCTATGTTGATTCTGACTAACCGACTAAATAACATTGTAGATATGCTTTTTCACTCGATTGGATGTACATTTGCAAAACTCAACAGATTAAGAAAATTTCAACGGTTGAGATCATGAATCAATTGAAGCTAGACCACTATAGAAAACCTGAAAGCATTGAACGGTCGTTTCGTCCTATTGTGTGGTCAGTCAGCTAAAACGTAGGACCAGACACATATGTACATCGGTTCAACTTGCCATACCTCATTAGCACAACAAGATGAACACTGGATTCATAGAAGCAGGTACTGTAATGGTAATAATATATAAAAGATTGTATGTAAGGATATAATTCAGGAAGAAGGAATTAGTTCGTAGAAAGTTAGGTATAAAGTCATTTCAATCCCACGATTTATGGGAAGACAGAGAGTGTATACACCTTCGCCATTATGATCGATTCTGAACCATGTCACGCAGAGTCTCCATCTATTGGTTACGATAATCACGCAGACCCCAACCAAGTAGCCTGCTTCTACTAATATGGCTCAGACTAGAAGTTATCGACTTGAAGGACTGATGCCACGTTTTGGTTTGGCTACCTATTGTGGGACTCCTCAGCAATGTGCATCCATGATCTCTCCTTACGAGAAAAAGGTTAAATGAATGGTAGTTTTCATAGTTAGTTTTTAAAAAAATACATTTTCAACTTATAAGATATTACTTATATTACTTATAAACGAAGTGTTTTGTTTTATAAACCTTATTATCTCATCATTTAACCAGATATATAATATGAACTTATGACCTGATTATATAGTTTGTTTATCAATTACAATATAAGGTTGTGGATTATTTAGTATATATAAGGTGTGTTAAAGTAATCTGTGTCCTTATCGAAATTTCCTTTATTTTTTTCTTTGTCAATTATTTTGTATTATTTATTGCACGTTATTTTTGTTATCGATTAAAGGCAATACTGAGATAAAACATCAAGTTTTAAGATAAATGGCAAATAGGTTTTATTGTATGATTGTATATCTTCATTATTGACTGAGATAGTTAAGATATATACAAGCATATGCCTTACTACTATGCAAAGATGAATAGTGATTAGCAATGGAATCCAGCATAAAGCGTGTTTCGTCCTATTTGGGACTCGTCAGCTCAATGTACCTGCATCTCAGAGTTGATGTTCACTATGGAGCTCGAACTCAGTAGCATTCGCTTCAAACTCCATGACGTTATTCACTTAGTTATTGAGTCCTGATAGCCACTTGCTTGTGTAATGGGCTGAAGTTTGAATTCACTTGACTGTCATTGATCAGTATCTTATTGGTATACGTGCCTACTGTGCGTTTTGCCTGAATTCACAAACATTATATGCGAAGCTGGATAATGGCTAGCAGTGGAATCCAGGACACGCGTTTCATCCTATGCTTAACTACTACTTACTTTGATGCAGGATAAGAGAACAAGTTGGAGGAAAGCTACGGGTGTCCAAATTATAACACTGTTGATTTTTTTTTATCTGAAGCATGCTGCGAAGCATCACATTTACCTGATTTGATTCCGAATAACTATCATGACCAATGTTCAGTGATATAATTTAGAATTAGTCATAAGTTTCGACCTTGAGCTCAAATGTTATCTTGTTTTCTATTCAATAAATCAATTCCTTCTTTAGTCACATTATGCCTATATCTCATCATTTATTTCTCTATTACTATCAGTAACACTGTAGTGAAGGAGAACACAGGTGAGCAAAATTACAGAGTTATGTGGTGAAATAGAAAAACCATACTATAATACTTAATTTACAAAATGTTCAATAATTGTATGGAACTTCATTAGTCTTGCATTTTAGTGCTAATTGCTTTCTATTCTCCCTCTACCTTTCTTGATCTTCCCCATCTTCTGCTGCTAGACATTACATTCCTGACTCGCATCATATACTACTTATATTAATATAAGTAGCATGCACCACAATATTACTGCTTATGATATTGTAATTCTGATTTTAATAATTCCATTTCATTGTACTCATGTAGTTTGGCAACTTAAACTGATTCAATTTCTTCATATTTAGTTAAATGACTATTCTAATATAAATCTTATTTATATTGAAAATAAACTTTCATAGATCCATATATGTTGTGATGCGTTTAAGCATAATTTTCTCATATTAGATCATTGTATTTGTTTGATCCATATTATTCATGTTTACATTTCGTTGATGTAAACATATCTATGCTATAATACTTGATATTTATTTAATATGTATACAGTGGTTTAATTTTTTTAGAGAATAAGTATATCAGTATAGGGTTGTAGCGATTGTTGAGTTTAGATTCATATAATGAATGGATCAATGTTAGACCATCATGGGAAACCTAGAAGCACTGGATAGCCGTTTCATCCTATTGTGGGACTCCTCAGCAATGTGAACCCATGATCTTGCACGCAGGTCTCGAGCCGAGCACCTTCAGACTCGTGGACGAACGCTTAATCTTTAGACCACGAAACCGGTATCCAACGATGTGAATGTATAACTTCAACTAATCCATGATATTTTACGACCGTCTAGCATTGTCATCAATGAGTAACTGCCTCACAGCAGACACGGTTGAACTCTACTGGTCACGGATTTTCACTAGAAATTCAGAAAATCCTTTATGAAGCTAGTCACTAGTGAACACATGACAATCGGGATTGTGGATGCGCGCTATTGAGGAGTCCCATAATAGGACGAAACTTCCATTTAGTGCTTCTAGCTTTCCAATTAGTTTTTATTTTAAAAAAATACCTGAAAAGTAATCAGAATCACTACATATACGTATCTATTGATAATCGCTTGATCGAGTGGAATTGACAATTCAGTGCTATTGGTTTCTCATCACTTTAATGTTTCTGTAACTAAACAAAAACAAATATTCTTGATAAAATCATAGTTCTAATATATATCCTACTTGAAACATGTACCGAAAACTTATTTTTTATTATATCTACATTATATTTTATATAAGATGTGACACTTTCCTATGTCAGTCAGTCAGTCAGAACGTGGGACCAGGCATATGTATGTATCGGTTCAAGCAGCCATGCCTCATTAGTACAACAAGATGAATACTGAATTCATAGAAGTAGTTACTTTAATGGCAGTAATGTATAAAAGAAAGATTGTGTATAAGGATATAATGCATGAAGAAAAATTAGTTGATAAAAAGAAAGATATAAAGCAATTTTAATTTTACTGTTTAGGGGAAGACAGGAAGTTTAAACACTTACGCCATTGTGATCGATTCTGAACCATGTCACATACAGTCTTCAACCATTGTTGGACCGCAATCAAGTAGTCTGCATCTATCAACATGACTCAGACTAGAAGTTAGTGACTTTGTGGACTGATGCGACGTTTTGGTTTGGCCGCCTCTAACTTTCTTCCAACCGTAGGTAGCATTGCGCGTCGTGGTAATCGGAGTTCAGGCATACGCAACATGTGACCCAACCATCTCAGTCGATGAAGATTCACAATCTCATCGACTGATTTACCATCATTCTCTAATACTTTGTGTCTAACCTCAGTATTACTTACGCGATGATCCTAGCAGATGCGAGCAATATTTCTAGGACATCTGTTGTCAAATACTAGTAGCTTACGAGTATCTTCTACTCCTAATGGCCACTTTTCACAGCTGTAGAGTTGAACAGAACGAAGTATACTTTTCCCTTAATTGATAGAAGGAATGACAAACAATTCACATTTAACACGCAGCATTTCATAGTATATCCACAATAACTTTTAACTTCTCTGTTAAATTTCCCAACCATGAAAATAAATAACTAGTGTATCAGTATTCCTTACACAAACCTTTTCTCAGAGATAATTACAGAAAATCTCCCCTCCATCTGGTAGATTAGTCACATGGATTATGCACTAAAATTCACGGCATTTTAGATATCTGCTTTAATAACCTGTCACCTATAGAAGTAACTGACATCGTTAGCATCTGAATTAACGGTTTCTTAAAGAGTTCGATTGTACCCATTAAATAGTTACTTTTCTTAAGTTAAAATGCTTTTACTGAAATTAGTTTGATTGGTAGGTTATATTCGTCACAATAGTTCTAATGGTTAAAAATCCGCAAAATTTGAGGGTCCTTTGTTTACTTTTAGGCTTGATAATGGGTACGCACTGGTAAAGAATCTCGTTCTAAGATGAAGCTGTTGTTCAGGGCTCCTTGGTTTCCATTGGTACCCTAACTAAAACTAATCTGTGACGTATCGATTTATAGATTATTTTTCTTTCAAAATAATATCTGCTTCAATGCCAAATTCCCTGTAGTATCATTGATTTGGCACCACCAAATAAGGTCGACTCGCGCAAAATTGTCCACCACACATCGGGTTATACTGGTCATCCACAGAGTTTTAACATCATGTTGCTTAATCTTTAGAGCCCAAGTGAATCTTGTTTATCAAATAGTATTGCCGGCACTACCACCTCGAGACAGATCTTATGACTCTAGGTGACTGAACATAATCATCAGGAAACCATTGATTAAGTTGTCATGTTTGTCAGCACTTCTAAACAATATGTAACTTTAATTCAGAGATGATTAAATTTCTTTTCGGACTCACTTGTATGAACCAGCGCGAGAATCGGAAACCTTACCTGTTACCATTTTGACCCTGCTAAATTGAAATATATACACTAGTCTGTTCTTAAGTATTGATAACTAACGTCAACGCTGTTTGAATCCTGTCAATTGATCTACATCCATAGTTTTTTTTAAGATCACATCTGAATATTTCAGCTTATATTTGTACTACAATTGTTGTATAATATGCATCAACTTGAGTCTTTTCAATTTAAATTACACTTTCTACTTTGAATACTACAGAGATTGGAATGTTACGTGATTCGGCCAGAACAGAAAATAGTATTGCTGCAATATCAACAACTGGTGTAGTTGAATCTACAACACGTATTGCACGACGAGCAAATCGTGTACTTCAATTAATCACACGAGAAGCAGATAATAGCGAAGATCCATTGTATGTTGATCGAATGAACGATGCTGTGAAAGCTTTACGATCAAGTAAGTGTTATATAATACATATGGTTTTTCTTTTTGTTTGTGTTATGTATTTCGAAAAAGGCTTTTATAATTGCAAATTAGGATAATAAGATTAAGAATCAGTTGTTCATCATTTTGAACCCGAACAGTCAATGGCCGTCAATTTTTCTTACAGTCCACGTATAACATAAAGAAGCTTGTAAATTATTCACCTAATAATACTTGTAGACATTGAAAGACAATTCTTATCACAAACCGCTATTAATGCAAAATCATTTAAAACCATTGAATAACTGTTAATTCCTAAATAATAGTTTAATTGTGGTTAATATTAGAATTGAGGACTTTGGTTTCGTCGTGTTCGTTGTCTATATTCAAGACTGAATTTCGATTAATCTTTAGTGATTGCTGTGCGTTTTGTTAGGATCTCTTTAATATTACCAGTGTCACACTTTATAGTTCAACGGACAACACGTTTTGTGTATCTGCCTGCTTGGCACCTATTTTTAAGTATCACTTGCTCAAGTAATTTCTTATTCTTTTCAATACAATGTGTGCATTCATTATAATGTATCCCCTCAGAAGACTTGTCTCCTATGTTGCAAAGATCATTATTATTAACAAGTTTTGATCCATCTTTTTGACATCACTCCGGCATATTAATCGCATGAAGTACAATTAGGTTGAAGCGGTACGCTTCTTATATGTGCTAATTCAGTGATCTATTTTCTATATAACGTTTACCAGTTTGTAAGAATGCTTGTTCAAGATGTAGGTTTCTTTAGTTATTTTCAACCATTCGACTGTTTCTGGTTCGTAACAACTTCTCCACTTTGGTGTGCGACAGAGGTTTATTGTTTAGGGTGTTCGATTTCCACCTCAGATTCGAATCCCACTCTACTTAGATTTCCTCACCGGATTTGTGTAATATCACTTAATCTCACTCATAAAAGTGTTACTCACATCTGGTTACATCTTTGGTAAATGAATTACATTATATTACATCTGCTTTTGAAATCCTTGTAAACATTGACTAGTAACTATAATCCAAATGAAGTCCAAAAACATTATAATCCGTTGTACTAAAATATTATCTAGTAGAAATTTTATGATATTAAGAAGAGGAAAAAAAATCCGTATTGTTGTTCAGCCAAACCCTGTTGTGGTTTACTTACCTTTTTTATTTCCAAACAAATAAAACATTTCACATTTCTAGACTCTCTCCCTCCCTCTCTCTCTTCACTGATTTCACTTCTTGTACATCATTAATAAGTGTCTGTGTTTGAGTGTGCATTTATATATATATGTATGTATGTAGGTAGGTAGGTAGGTATGTAGGCACATGTCTGCAACGTATATTAAAGATTGTACATTTTGTTGTTATTATAAGATAAAATTTGTTCCAGCGATTGTATACGTTCATGTACCTTAATGTTACCGTTATGTCTGGGGTGGTGATAATTAATCACCTCACTACCGATTTTTTTTCTCTCTCTCTCTCTCTTCCTTTGAATGAATAAATATATTCGTATCTGTGTGTTTACATGTGTGGCTTTTCCTTGTTCTTTTAATTGCTTTTAGCACGTACTGTGCTGATTCATTGAAAACAAAAACAAAAATCAATACTATTTATTATATCATGAATATATGTATACATGTATATAATATTTAGTTAAGTATTGGGTTCGAGTCCCATTATATAATAAACACTAGGATACAGATATATATATATATATATATATATATATATATATATATATATATATAATTTGAAAAGTCCTAAATAAAGGACAAAATGTACACCCTATTTCACACTAATAATATACTAAACATTACTAATGTAGTTTTATGGGGCTGTTTTTATTTTTCTAGTTTTAACATGAAAATCTCACCATAATTGTTTTTCAAATTATGTCATTTCGGAATAAAACCTTTCTGTATTATATATATACATATATACATATAAGTTTAACATTAAACTGATATAACGCATTATTTATATTTCCTATTAGATTCAGTAGTTGTTTGCAGTTATTCACAGTCATGTAATATACCCTTGTTGGCCAGAGTAATTTTACATTGGTTTTCAGGAGAACTAGACACCATCCGGACTTCCACGTGACAACCCAAACAGTACAGCTCAACCCCGTTTAGCAGGGGAACCAGATACCGTATAGGCTTTAACCCTACAAACAGAATAGTACAGCTCAATCCTATGGCGCAACCACACAGGTACCAAGCACTCTGGTGGATCATTCGCACCATTCATATACACATTCACATCACATGTATAGTTATTCCGATCAATGATCGCGTGAATCAATTATGCACATCACGAACAGGCCAAAGTTGACCTATTCCGCTTACACGACAGTCAAACTCGTTAATGTTAGCAATGGCGGCATGCCTTACAATGTCCCAACGACAATGGCCCTTGAGAACATTGAAAAGCAACCACCAGTATGAATGAAATCGGTTAACCAGCAAACCAATTTTTCGCATAAACAGTCAACAAAAGTTGCCAAAGTAGTGCCGAACTATCCACAATGTCTCTAGCCTCATATGAGACCTTCAGCTCTACATAGCCATATAGCTTATAATAGTTGTTTCCACTATTGATAAAATCATAGTTCTAAATTATGCAACTATTCTATTGACTTAAGGGAGATAAAGTATGTTTGCTGAATCTTCATGAATTGTTTAACTGAATAGGGTGGTGGATGGTGGCTAGCAGTAGAATTTAGGATACTAGTTTCGTCCTATTTAGAACTGGTTAGCTGGATGTATTTAGATTCCAGAGTTGGTATTCATTCCCAGACTTCAACCCAGTAACTTCCACTTTAAACGTCATCGCATTATCCAGTTGGCTAATGAATCAAGGCATCAGCTGGCTTATGCATTGAGGTGAATTTCAAGTCCTAGAGTAAACATTAATTCTGGGATGTAGGTCCACCCAGCTAACGAGTCCAGAATAGGACAAAATGGGCGTCATCGACCTTATTGATAACCACTATCTATCTCTGTCTAAAATGCTCATGAATTACTGGCAACATAGAGACAATCTGGACGGGATGCACATATGCCAATAAGAGACTCGGAAAATAGGAACACTGTAATTTCTACAACGCATTGTGAAAACACAAATGACTAGTGAAAATAAAGATCTATTAACTGTCTAAGTCACATCAAAAATAATTTGTCCTCATTCAAACCGAATAGACTTGTTTATACAGTGATGTATAATTGAAGATTAGTTCATAAACATCATGTAAATGAAAAGATACACAGTGTTACCTGTAAAACTACAGAAAATAATAAAAAAATATCATCGTCACACCAAACTAAATTTCACGCCTTTCATGTTGAACAAAATTCATACTTAACTGATATAAAAATATTGATCTGAAATTATATCCCATAGTGAATGTTGGGGAAACCCGGAAAATTCTTCGAAAAGCATTGAATAGCAGTATCTCGGACACATCTAGAAAGTGAAGAGTCACGTGTCGTATCTACTGTGGTTAGTAGCGTTCTCGAATTTTCCAGAAGCCTAATGCCGTTTGAAATGCTTTAAATACCTGAAATTTTCTGTCCATAAACGAACCTTGGAATAAAGAGATCTTTCCACATTTAACTCCTTTTTTGTCGTGATCAAGTTGCTGTGGTTATAGGAGAATTTAGGAGACAAATCCAAGCGTTCAGTTAGAAGATTTATTAGTGAATAAAAAGTCACTAACTTCTGGTCTGAGCCATGTTGGTAAATACAGACTACTTGGTTGGGTTCCGTGTGACTATGGTAATCAATGGTTGGAGACTGTGTGTGACATGGTTCAGAATCGATCACAATGGCGTAGTTGTAGGTGCAATCTTTCTTTTATATATTACTACCATTGAATTAACTACTTGTATGAATCCGGTCTTGTTCATGTTGTGCTAATGAGGTATGGCAACTTGGATCGATGCATATATGTGCCTGGTCTTACTTTGTAGCTGATTGACTGATCACCACAAATTATGATTAATAACATTTGATCTGATTATATTCGCTGTTTTATTCATCTTTTTTAAAAAAGTCATATACTCCTTCCATCTCACCATCAATTTTCTTGTTTTCTCGTACTTCTCACCACTTCTACTTCTCCCTTTTTCAATAGCTATCACACCAATGGTAAATGATGCTAAAGGTTTAGTAACAAATATTGAAGATCCACGTATGCATGATCAATGGCGTTTATCAAATCGTAATTTATTAACTGCTGTTAATTCAGTAAAACAAGCTGTTAGTCCATCATTTAATAATCCTATTAATTATTATCATGAACATTGTCGTCCAATATCTGTACATAAAAATGGAATTAACAGTACAAATACAAGTATTAGTAGTAATAGCTGTAATAATATACATAACAATAATAATAATAATAATAGTGTCTCATCATCTAAATCATCACAAGCTTCTATTAAAGAGACAACACCTTCAATTCCTCTTCGAGAAATGCAAGAAATATCAATTACAGGTAAGTACCTCTGAAGTATTCTCTTCTAATTTTTTTCCTTTAATATTTTATTTGTTTTGTTTATTGATGATCATATTCTAAGTCACAGTTATGTAGTTCATTGGATCATTTTTATTGATCCGTATTCTTTCCTTTGTTATATAATTAATGATTGAATTGAATTTTGTAAACACTTTTTTCCAACAAATACTTTGACAAGCCCCTGTTACTGCTAATGGAGCATAGGCCACCAACCAGCATTCTCCAACTCACTCTGTCCTGGGTCTTGTTTTCTAGTTCCATCCGATTCTTGTTCGTTTTTCTCATGTCTATTTCCATTTCCCGGCGTAATGTGTTCTTTGGTCTTCCTCTTTTCCTTTGGCCTTGAGGATTTCCTGTATTCAATACAAATTCTCTTTGATAAACTGGTGGCCAAACCAAGAGGGTGGCATTAGTCCTTGAAGTCATTAACTTCTAGTCTGAGTCATGCTGGTAGATTCAGACTACCTAGTTTGTGTTCCAATGGTTAGAGACTGTGTAACATGACTCAGCATCGATCACAACGGCGTAGTTGTATACACTCTCTATCTTCACTTAAACTATGAGATTAAAATCCTTCATCTTTCTTTTTCGAACTAATTCTTTCTTCCTGTACTATATTTTTATTGCAATCTTTCTTTTATGTATTACTACCATTTAATTTACTACTAGGAATTTTGTGTTCATTTTGTTGTGCTAATGAGTGAGGTGTGGCAACTTGGACCGATGCATATGTGTGTCTGGTCCTACATTGAAACTGATTGACTCTTTAATAAACGATTGTTTTTATTGTATAGTTTATCTATTTGTATGATCTATCCATGGACAAAGAGTGAATATAGTCTACATCTTCCTACTCAGTAACTTCATGGCCTAATGTCACATTTTGATTTGATCACTACTAGACTTGTTCCAACCCATTCATTCACCAGACTGTTTAGAGCATTTATGTAGACGCTTGTTGAGTTTACGTAATGCATGTCTTAAGCACTTCAGTCAATGAAGCTTCACAACGTTATTAATCGATTCGTCATCTTTTCCCGATACCCGTATACCTTGTCTCCGTATTCAGTGTGTCAAATAGGCATTAAGTAAACCAGAGAGAAATGCTCTGCACTATACCCGGTCGTTCATTTTCAAATGAGATATCTCACCAACGCAAACGCAACAAGTGATTCATAAATTGTCTTATATTTCAAGTATCACTTCATTACTTCCCTTTTATAATGGGATTATTTGATAGTAAACTATTCATGTCGTACTCATGGTGTATGATATCGACGTATCATACATTTCATACTAAATCTCGGTGTCTGTTGTACTTTATTTTAAAGTGAACAGTATCTATATTTTTCTCCATCCATTTTCATTTCATTTCTTTGCTATTCTCTAGATGTTTCTCATATACCATATTCATATATTGACAATAATAATAGTAATGATTACATTTATCATACATCACATTATCATCATAAACCTGTGTACGAAATTAAATTATCTAATCCTCTTCATCATTCACCATCATCACCACCACTGCCACATCATCAAAAACAACATATCACTACTACCAGTCATCATCATCATCATCATCAACCTTATTCATCACCTACACATTCATATCAACAATCCAATCCACTTCATCAAGCATACTCACCTGGTCACTACACTAATAATAATAGCAGTAATAATAATCTACATTCACCACCATCACCCCCTTATCAACAACAAAATCATCACTATCATCCTCATAACCATTCAAAACATCATCATCATCATCAAACTGAAAACATAAATACTTATTTAACAATGAAACATAATAATGATTATTTATGTACAGGTATATATTTTTTGTTGAATATCATTGGGATAGACACGCATGTTCTTGATCTTGTGCACAATAATCACTTTAAGGATCATTTCTTTCTTTTCTATCAGTCTTCCTTTCTTCTTCCTCCTCCTCTCTCTCTCGTTTGTTTTAGTACCAGTGTTTGTTCATTTGATTGCATGACAGTTAAAAAAGATTGAGATGATTTCTGTTAGTTTTTTTGTCTGATAAGAAAAATAAGTAAACATGCACTGCTTTTATCTTTCCTGTGAAATGCTGTTACACTGATTATGTGTATATCATTATTTGATAATAATCCTTCTTGAAGTCTTCGTTATTACTGTTATCATGACTATTGTCATGGTAACTACTTATTTATTTAAACATATTGAAATCAATCCAATTTATCAACCAATCAGAAAAATCAGGCACAAACATACGAACAAAAATCAAAACAATGGGAGACACAACCAAAACAAAGAAGTAAACAACGACAAATTTAAGGTCAATAAGAACCAATCAACGTCGAGGTGCACAGAACAAGCTTTGAGACACATATGGAGAAATTCAAACACTTCACTTCTATCTGAAGTTTGTGCTGATGATGTCGTTCAGAAGAACGATGAAAGCTCCACGACCAAACCATCCAGCTCAGAGAACAAAACTCCACCGACATAAACATTGGTACAAGGAAGTATCAAATAGATATGCGCCATATAAATCACTCGATTTCTGTGAGAGCTGGGACACGGCCCGGGTGCCCAAACCGAAACAGGTGGTTTTCGTAGGAAGGCCGTACCTGGAACCTTTGACCTAAAGGTCTAATCCACAAGGTAGTGGAGCAACGTCAGGAGATGCAATCTCGTGGTCACCGGTCACCAATAATTGGTTCATATACTATTCGTTCCTTCAGGATCCTGGAGCCCATGTTCACCATTAATTACAGTACGAATACAAAAATGGTATATTATTTGTGAATTTCATAAGGATGTATTAAGGTATATAATAATAAGGGGTTAATGCTATTAGAATGTTGATTATACTATCTATCTGTTATTATTACAGTCGAAATAGTAGACTTTTAGTTTTTTTTTCCATCTTCTACACATTGGTTGTATGCGTGAATATCGTATGTTCTTGTATGTTTGCATATTGCATTGGCTTTCAAATATTAATACATTTCTTGGAAATTGTTTGTCTTAGTTTATTTATTTCTTTATGTTCTATCCTAACACATTGTTTATGGCATTTTTCAGATGAAGATCAACAACAACAATCTGGTACTATTTCTTTAGATGATGCTGTATCTACTACAACAACAGCAGCTGGTGTTCCTGCACGAACTAGTACACCTGATACGGAAGTTGATGAAGAATTCAACTTTCCACCACCTGAAGAAAATCAACCAATTATGGTCAGTGAGAATTATATATATGTTCGTTTGTCTTGTTTTCTTTTTAAAACCTGTCAAAAATGATTTATATAAGTTCTCACCAAGATTTGAATGATTAGTTTCTCAAATGAATTGAATATCAACCAGGGTAAATTATCCAACAAATTCTGTATTATAAATTTGGGCTAGTTAAAATACTATAGGTAGAGTAGTACTGTGGTAAGTTGTAATTGCTTTCAATTACTTCTGGTCATATATATTGTCTTTTTACTTTACACTGACCAGTTAAGATATAAGGTTACCTTTCTATATAATTTATTCGTTATTATCATAATAATCCTTTCGGTTATATACCCTGATACATCCGACGATGGGAACAGTTCACTCTCCCTCTCGAAATGTTCTCATATGACCACATGCATACAACCACTGCCAGGGAAGTCGTACTTCCTGTCTTCTCGTGATATTACTGTAGTTTACAAAATTGAGAGAACGAAAAGCGAATTTCCAGCACTTTAACCGGGTGGGTGGACACGGAGAGTCCATATAGGGGAGTTGGAAAATCCTCATTCCAAACCAATGATGGACATCGGCTCCAGGATCCTGATGGAACAAATGGCGTATGAACCAATTATTAGTCATTGGCTACCATGTGACTGCATCTCCTGACGTTGTTCCTCTACCTTATGGATCAGATCTTTCGGTCGAAAGCTCCGGGTATGGCTCCCTAAGAAAACTATGTGATTCGGTTTGAGCACCCGAGTAGTATCATAGCCCAGACACAAATCAAGTGATTTGTGTGGCGCATTTATATTCGGTACCCCTTTGTACTAATATTTATGTGTTCAAATAAATAAATAATATCACAGGATGCATAGATGCTTAAAAGGCAATTGTTTTTCATAAGATCAGTACTTAAAGTTTGAAACTAAATGCGTAAATACGAGTGGAATGTAATGCGTGTAAGTGCATAATACAACTCCATAATCACCCATAGCTTTATATTTCCTTCTTTAAATCATACATTTTTTGTGTTTACCTATCTATCAGTTTGTGAATTCAGTAAACTATACAATTGTCCAATGTAAATAAAGTTACATTGGGTTCGTATTTCATACTCTATGGTTGACAACTGAGTATTTTAGTTGCTATGTTGTTGCTTCATATAGTTAATTATATATGCGTAATATAAATTAATGTATTTATAATGAGCCTTATTAGTCACATGTTTTCTAACAATCATCATATTTAATATAAGAGATTATATCCTCATTATGTCATATTTGTAGACCTACTTCAATAAATGTATATTTCTATTATTAAAATTTATTGAAAACTCAGTTTTATCGAATTCCATAACAGATATAAACTAAATAGATTCCTAGAAATGGAATTTACTCAGTTCATCGACAATGAGCCGATGGAACATATATCTATATAAATGAACAGATGCGTACATTGTATTTACACACGTTTACTAATACATTCCAACATCCAAGTAAATATGTGATCCTATGATCTTATGATATTACACAGATACATATTAAAATGATATTCAGTATTTTGACTGTCATCATGAACCGTTTGATGTTAGACCACTATTAACAATCCCACTCGCGAGATCGTAGATGTTCATTGCGGAGGAGTCACACAGTAGGAAGAAACGGCCATCCAGTGCTTCCAGGTTTTCAATGGTGGTCTAATATCAATTGGTTCATGATCTCAATCAAAAACTTGGTAATCTCCGCAACCCTATACTGAGATTCAGTATAGATAAAGTAAGCTACTGAAATAAAATAAGTAGTTAAATTTCACAGTATTTTGAAAGTAGTCTACAATAGTACAATCACACATAACATAATTGATCAGATTTAAGTTGATTCTGTGACTTATAATTAACCAGGATTTAGGTGCATTAATGTTTACACTGTCTAGTCAAGACAACAGTTACTAATTTTTTTATCAATGACTCATATCAGAAGGGTTGAGATGGTGGAGAAGATTTGTAGCTCAGGTGGATGATTTTGGTCGAGTTTTGTTCTCTGAGCTGGATGGTTTGGTCGTGGAGCTTTCATCTTTCTTCTGAACGACATCATCAGCACAAAACACACATGTGGAGAAATTCAAACACTTCACTTCTATCTGAAGTTTGTGCTGATGATGTCGTTCAGAAGAACGATGATAGCTCCACGACCAAACCATCTGGCTCAGAGAACAGAACTCCACCAAATTCAGAAGGGTTTTTTGTGGAATTCATCGTAATTTCAATGGTTGAGATCATGAAGCTAGACCACCATAGAAAAACCTGAAAACACTGGACGATGGTTTCCTCTTATTGTAGGCGTCCTCAACAGTACACATCCACGATCATCATAGCAAATCAGCTAACCTAATTGTATGCTTTCCACATTGAGAGCTTAAGTGAAGTTCATTTATTTCCAAAATACATTTTAACCAGCGGTTGATATTTTCTATATGAATATTAATTTGAATAAACAAAATTGGTGAGTGTTATAATTTCATCATAAATATTTTTAACCATCCTATTTAGCTTTCAATACATTGACTTTACAATAGAAATCTACTACTTCACATTGTCATTCATTAATTCCAGAGACTGGTATCATGTTTTGGTTCGATCACAATTGATGTTTCTTTAATTCAATCCTACTTTAGTTTCCATCACTTATGGATTATAACTTAAATTATCATCTCTAAAGTGTAATCCAATGCCTCCATCAACTGATCTATTCGCTTTACTACGTAGATTCATGTTGAGTAGTAGACTTATAATACCTCATCATCGAATCCCACCCATACATATATATTTGAAGGTGAAAATTTGTTTATGGTGGAAACACTTGATTTAAAGCAACTAGTCTGATGAATTTTCCACTGGTCTAAAAGCAACCAGGAATAAGTCAGTTTTTTAGATCATACTTCTTTTTTTGTATACTTATTGATTCAACTATTAGTTCCTTGTTGATTTATAATTTTAGGCCGCTGCTCATGCATTACATCATGAAACACGATTATGGTCTAGTCGAGATAATGAATTAATTGCAGCAACTAAACGTATGGCTGCTTTAATGGCTCAATTAAGTCAAATTGTTCGGTAAATATTTTAATTTTATCAATTCAATTTGTTTATCTGTATACATGTTGTCATGAATTCTTTGTACATATAGATTGATGTTCTTTTGTAGATTTAATTGAATAGGTAGAGTGGAAAAAAACGCACTATCTAAATTTAGTCCCGATCGTTGTTGCTACTTTGACGTGGTGGCCGGGCTTGTCTATCGTGATGAAGGAACCGAGCTATACTGGCTGGAACAACCGTTCCTTAAGGTCCTATCATGTCAGACAGGTCGGTTGAAGAACGGCAAGACTAAAAGTAGCAAACCCAGTGTCTGAAGGCGAAGTCATACTGCTAACTGTACAGAAGTGTGACGGTAGTAAGGTGTTCCCTTTAGACAACCAGCATAATAGCGATAATGCTTTCCCAGAAGGAGGAGTGGGGTTAGAAAAGGTCGATTCTAAAAATGCACACCTCCCCTTATCCCACGGATATCCGTCTCCGGCGGTAAGGTCTCAATAAGTACGGAGCTAACACGAAAATTACCCATAAAAAGGTCGTGTATGACTAACCTCGAGCAGTTATCCCTTGGACACTGCGGTCACGCTTTCGAGTCACTAGGATCACCTCTAACCCAATTTCTTTTTCAGGTACCTCTAGAAGAACCCTTCCATGGTGTGCGTAACCGCGAAGTGGTAATCATCCTCATACCTCTAACAGCACTTAAGACTATTGTATTCATAGTCAACCTCTTCAATTCTTCTATCTACATTTAGTATTATTTTTCAGTCATTAGTTTCCTTGTTTCTTCTATTTTTCTGTTAAAAATTTGTTCCTGATAACCCATATGATCTAGAAATTACGGCGAGATTATAATTTATGAACAAACCAATCAGATTTGGGATAAGAGGTCTTGGATTTTGGCTCGAATTTCATTCATATTTTTGGCTAAATAGCGTTTTGGCATTTTAACTGATGTCAGTTCAATCAATTGTAAATCATAATCCTTATTCTTCATACTGCTTCATAATCCTCATTTAGCTCTAGTAAGTAGGTTGACATTCTCAAGGTCACTTTAGCGTCGTTCAAAGGTCGTCCATAAATTATAGTTTCACCAAAATTACTCCCAACTACCTTGTATTCAATCATTGTCTTTGTTAAATGTTAATTCTCCAAGATGATGGATCTCAATTTTTATAGTTTGGGTGATCAAATAAAAAAATGACTATTCGTTTTCACTTCTCCTAAGGGAGATTACAGGTTATCTTGTTTCTTTTTTAATGAATACTATTTCGTACTTGTAACGCTAGCTATGGTAACACTTTTCCAATTTATATTTCCTCAATGACCTTATTTGTCAAAGTCTAAAAGTCGTCTGCTCCTACCTCTGTAACATGTTTCACTTCTTCCCAAACTCTTGTCTGTGTCCCATCGTGTTCTTGATTATTGTTGAAGTGTTGTATGTCAGTCCTCCAATCTATATAGGTCATGTAGATCCAGTTTCATATTAAATTTCAGTAATTTACAAAATGAACTTAATGAAATCTACAGCAAAACTTGATTGAATCTTTGTCAGAATTTTCTAGAACTCCTAAAGTAGTTGGTAAACTTATAAACAATCCCTGAGTTTTTCATAGTCATACAAACCTTGAAAGTAAAACTGTTATTACTAAAAGTTATGTAGTCGTCAAACTGTTGATATCTTGTAATTCAGCTAAATAATCATTGTTACAAGTGTTTGATCTACCACTAAAACATAATATAGTGCTTACCATTATACGCAAAGGTCGTGATTCCGATCACTGGTGTGGCGGTCGATAAGCATCACTAAAATAATTATGGATCAAAACAATTATCTAGTAATTCTCGCCCTTGAATGTTTGTTGAACCATATAAAACCATGGATTTCGTAACTTGTACAACTCGTCGATTTATTGACTCTCTTACTTAAATTGACTTCCATCATTCTTACTATAGAAACAAATCTTTCTTAATTAATTTGCTATATATTTCGTTTCATAATTAAATAATCGAAGTATTTTATTCAAACATAGACTTGACACACATGGCATTGGTCACTACCCAGTGATCAATCAGTTGTGATTACATCCTTGTCCTACAGGAGGTCGTTCGCGCCCCCGATACCCAAGTGGTAATGTCTCTGGTTGTGTAGCTAGGTGACACGGAGTCGAATCCGTCAGGGGGCACCATTTTCCTAAAGATAACAGGTACACCTTGTTGACGAGTGCCAAGTACCACAAGACCCAGGTCCAGAGTTTCCTGTTGACTACATCTAACCACTTTATCTCAACAAATACACGCAATGTCGAGCCACTTAGACTAGTGGCCACATTGCAACTTGGTCGATAGCATTCGATCTGCACTAAGACGAACTTGACACCCGTGATATTGATCACCACCCAGTGATCAATCAATTGTGAAAATATACACTTTGTTTATTCCGATATTACTGGTATATTTTTTGGTATTCTTTTAATTAAAAATCAAAAACATAATCAGTGGTGAATACGGTACAAAGAAGGACCTGATTAATGTTTCTATGGCTATTGCTGAAGCATCTTTGGATGTTAATCGATGTGCAAAAGTATTAGCTAAAGAATGTACAGATCGTCGTATACGTTCGGTAAGTTGTGTAGATTAGTTTACTGTTATTCTTTTTTTACAAAGTTGTTGACTGTTATTGTATAATGTTTGTTTATTTATATTGGAGGTTTGTAAAGTTTTCCAAATTTTACGGTCTACATTACTGATTAGCCTTAGATAACCGTTAAAATCCAATAAGCACAGGACAGCTGTTTCATCCTTATTTAGGAACTGTCTATGGTACGTGTCTATGATCTCACTGAGAATCAAGAAACTACGATCAATGAAGTTCAACCACATTTTATGTTGGGAAGTTAATCGCTCGTGGCATTGAAAGATGATTCTACGGTATCACAAAGTAAATAAAGTTAGACATGTGAACCTTTTGATGTCAACTCACTGCTATTAAAGTTAAGCATTCATCGTGGTGACTTAAATTTCCTAGATTCAATCATAGGTAGAGTCATGGATGTATATGTTCAAGAAGTTCTGTAGAAAGAGGAAACAGTTGTACATTACTAGTTTGCAATTTTTTCCGATTGACGTCAGTCCATGACACAAACTATAAAATAAATATTTATGTGAATACGAGAACATCACATAATGCCCATAGTCTTCTCAGCTAATATACTTAACCATTTAAGCTTGTTCCAAGTGAATTCTCGGTGAGACGACCTTTGAGCGACGCTAACGTGACCTTGAGAATGTCTACCTAATAACTAGGATCAATTGAGGGTTATAAACCAGTGTATGAAGAATTAGAATTATGATTTACAGTTGATGGTTAGTGTTAGTAATTACATTTAGGGTTTTCATCACGAACTGACATCAGCTATAATGTCAAAACTATATTTAGCCGAATGGATGGGTGAATTTCGCGCCAAAATCTGAGACTTATGATCTTATACCTGATCGGTTTGTCCATAAATTATAATCTCGCCGAATTCTCCAATTGATGAAGAGTACATTATTACTTCCATTCACGTATTGATATGTATATGGATTCATGATCATTTCATGCCTAACTAAACATCATTGCATAAATTTTAAACAAGTACCTATCGGTGGTATATATATATATATATATATATATATATATATATATATATATATATATATATACTTCAAATTAAATTCTTGTATAGTGGCTTAGCTTCGTTAATCAATCACCTTAATAACCGTTGTGATATAAATCCCGACAGTGTTTAGAATCAACAGGCAGTAAGAAGCGGCGACTACAGTTTATTAGCGGATAGCACATATCACAAAGCTACAAGCACATCGAGCAAATTCGAAACAGAGAGGTGACGATATGTATGCAAACAAATACAGAGGCAAATTTATAGTCAAATCGAATCAAGACTCAGATAGGAAAGGTAAATATTAATAATAGAATTCAAGTACATACATCTATGGGGTAGAGAATGATTCATCGTGCAATATTTAGGCTATCAATAATCAAGCTAGATAGAGATGTGAATAGGATGTCACATATGATCCAGAGTACATGTTTATACGAACATGGTAATGATCATAATAGTATAAAGAAATACTGTTCAAATAACATTATCTGTTAAGTAAGTTAATAAAACGGCTTAATCATAATTGAAATTGATTATAGAATAGTTGCTATACTCTTCTTGTTATTATTATTGAAGTTTATAAACAAAATTCCATGTTTTCAGTACCTTCATTTAAAGATGATTTATTGTTTGTTATTGTTATCATGCATATTTTGTTAAATATTCTATAAACAAGAAAGTTCATGTGTATTTTGACTGAATTTAGTTAGTTATTAAAAGTACGATATATTTTCTGTCCCCCCCTCTCTCCCTCCTCTTTCTATATTTATTACATAAATTAATACAAATAAATACATTTCTGTAATCATTCTCTGTTATTGTTCTGGTTGTCTTACCGTACTTCTCTCACTGGTGTTTATTATATTATTAGTAGTACTACAATGATTGTTTTCTACTCTCCCACCCCCTACTAAGCCGAGGTTAGGGATAGTCAGCTCTCTCTTGAAATGCTCTCACATGGCCACATGCATGCAGTCACTGCCTTCTCGTGGCATTACTGTTGTTTACGAAATTGAGAGGATGAAAAGTGAATATCCGACGTTCTAACCAGGTTGGTAGATATGGAGGATGCATCTAGGGGAGTTAGAAAACCCTCATTCCAAACCAATGATGCACATAGGTTCCAGGATACTGAAGGAACAAATAACGTACGAACCAACTGTTGGTCATTGGCTACCATTAGACTACATCTCCTGACATCGTTCCACTGCCTTGTGGATCAGACCTTTAGTTCGAAGGTTTCAAGTATGGACCTCTAAGAAAACCATCTGCTTCGGTTTGAGCACTTGGACAGTATCATAGCCCACACACAAATCAAGTGATGTGTATGGCGCATATGTATTCAATGCCTCTTTGTACTAACATTTATATGTTCAAATAAATAAATAATAAATTTCTTCTATTTCTTTTAATCAAAGCACATTAAATACTACTAATATCCTGGTAATTAAAACAAATCTAACTTTTTCAACATTAAATTATCACTGATCGAAATCATGAGTCAATTGAAGCTAGACCAGCATGGAAAACCTGGAAGCATTGGACGGCCGTTTCGTCCTAGTGTGGAACTCCTCCACAGTGCGCATCCACGATCCCGCACCCCGCGAGATTCGAACCCAGGACCTATCAGTCTAGACCACTGAGTCGACATCCAACGGTGTTAATGTCTAACTTCAACCAATCCACGAATTTGCGCCACCGTACACCATTGTCTTCAGTGAGTTGATGTCTCACAACAGACCTGGTTGAACTCCACTATTAACGGCTTCTCACTAGAACTCTAGGAGTATCTCTTGAATTCAGTAAAATCATGTTTCAACTGATCCATATGAACAATAATTAATCTAGTAACACTAGCCTTTGATTAAAGTAAACATTATCAGCTCATACTTGATTACATAATTATAATTTACTTAATATAACTTACCCAATAGTTTCTAGATACGCCATTTTTTCCCCATATATCTATATATCTGTCTGTATCTTTTTTCATAGTAAAATGATTGGTAGTTCCAATGAATAAGTTTTACTCTTGACTAAAATTTAACATTGAAACAGGTTACATTATCATTTGTATTATATAACTTTTCACTTGAATGTTTTAATGTAATTGTATTTTAAACTATCCTACTTCTTCCCTTCTATCATTTATTCAAATAAAGTGTGTTACGGTTGGTTTGTGGTGAAGTTTCGCTTACGTAATCATGTGTGCAAATCGACGTATTATTATTATTATTATTAATAGTAGTAGTAGTGGTAGTAGTACTAGTAGTAGAAGTAGTACCCTAAAAGCTTCACTGTATGACTGTTTTTCATATTTGAATAATTGAGACAAGTTGAAATCTATTTCTACTTTACTAAACAATAAATGTTGACGTTAACAATAATTTGCCATTATTATTATTAATAATAGTTACTGTAATAAAAACGTCAAAATTCGTTACATAATGCTTCTATTCAATGGTTAATATATTTTTTAGCTGTTCAAATGGTTATCAGTTGTGAGATAGTAACTCACTGATGACAATGGTGGATGTATCGCTCAATTTCGTGGATTAACTGAAGTTAGACATTAACACTATTGGATTCCGACTCAATGGTCTAGTGGTTAAGAACTCGTGCGAGAGACTGATAGGTCCTGGGTCCGAATCTCACCAGGCGGAGTCGTGGATACGCACTGTTGAGGAGTGCTACAATAGGACGAAACATTCGTACAGTGCTTTCATGTTTTCCATGGTGGTCTAGCTTCAATTGAGTTATAATCTCAACTGTTCAAATAGTACTTAGTGTAATATTTTGGAGAACAAATTTTAATCTGTAATTAGTTTACATCACGAAACCATATGGATTATACATTTAGGTTAAATGTTTGACGTTTGGTCGTTTAAGTATATTACCCAGTTCTACTTCGGCACTGGAGCAATATCTTGGACTATACAAAAATTTGTTTTGTATGACGCATAATATTTTCAGATCAAATAAATTAAAATGTCTTATTACATGAACAAGCCTATTCTTCTGGCTATTGTTATCTATTCATTCGGAAGTTTAAAACTATAGTCCTGTTTCATGAGTGACTACTACTTTTGGTGTCTAGTTGTGCCACTATTTATAGGCCATAAATAAAGTAAACGTCATCAATTCTACAGTAAAACATGAAGTAAATCCAATGTTTTTTCAGTGCTTGAATCTCCATTCTCTATAAGTTACTATACCAATTTCAAATGTATTAACACAATAGTCGAATTATTAAACTCTTGTTTTATGTTTTCATTTCATAAGTTCAAATTTAGTTCAACTTATTCCTATTTGAATATAACAAATCTTTCATTTTTATTGTTGATATAAAATGATGAAGGTTAAAAGTTTAATACACCGCTTTCCTCATTTTGACTGATACCCCACAATAATATAACGAACAATGACCCCGAATTCCCTGGTACGACCAAGGTTAAGGAGAGTCAGCTAATTCTCTAGAAATGCTCTCACATGACCATGTGCAGACAACCACTGTCACGCATGTCCTACTCACTACCTTCTCGTGGCATTATTGTCGTTCACGAAATTGAGAGGAAGAAAAGTAAATGTTCGGTGCTTTAACCAGGTTGGTGGATCCACCTAGTAGGAGTTGGAAAACTTTGATAACAAACCAATGATGCACTTCTGGCTCCAGGATCCTTAAGGAAAAAATTGCGCATAAACTAATTATTGGTCATTGGCTACCATGAGACTGCATCTCTTGACGTTGTTCTTCTGCCTTGTGAATTAGACCTTTAGGTTAAAGGCTCGGAGTGTGGTCCCTTAAGAAAATCACCTGTTTCGGTCTGGGTATCCAGGCAATGTCCTAGCTCTCACACAAATCGAATGATTTATATGGTGCATACCAATTTGGTGCCTCCTTGTACTAATGTTTATGTGTTTAAATAAATAATAAATATAATGTATGTTATTTTTTTATTGTTTTTAGAATCTTTTACACCTAAGTGATCGTATTCTCACCATTGGGAACCAATTAAAAATTTTATCTACTGTAAAAGCCACTATGCTTGGAACACAAGGTAGGTGGTGGTGGTTTTTTTTTAAAAAAGTGCCGTAATAGCATAGATATATTCATTATTTATCTCTTCTTATATCTTGAGTCTTGAACTTATCTCATACTTTATATTCAGGGGATTTACTCTTTTGTTCAGAAGAACGATCGAAACTCCACGATTAAACCATCCAGCTCAGAGAACAAAACTCCATCCCGATTTTTTCTTTCTTTTTCTATAGTCATATTACTTATACCTAGTCTTTTCTACTAACTGATACTGTTGCTACTTTTACTACTTAGAAATTTGTCTTAAAATAATTATGTCTCATTGTACTAATGCGATTTCATGCATATATTCACCGAACTCCATGACTTGTTTGAAGCTGATCAATGTAACTTGGTTAACACAATGCAAATTTATACAGCTAAATAACTGATTGTTCTCAATTCCATGAGCTTGGAAATACTGTTCAATCACACATAAACCATAAAGTAGTCAAATTTAGGTTTGGACAGTTTGTTACTCTAGTCTTCTGTAGGGATATATGTTAAAAAGTTACGTTTGATTACTGAATAGAAATTGAAGCAGGTTAAGCAACTTTATGTATGACCTTCTCTGTGATATTTTAATAGTAATATGTAGTGTGTGCTACTTAAGTGGACAGATATCAGTAGTATGTATCAGGCATATGAAGTAGAATTCTTTTTGAAAAAAGAAGAAGAAAACAAAGAGAAAAGAAAGGAAAACAGAAGGCAACAGGAATGGAAGAACAAATAGTGTAATTAATGCATTATTCCTATATTTTACAATGAGACTTTATAATTTTACGTAATATAACTGATTTTCTTTGCTCAGTTCTTCATTACTTACTTACTTACGCCTGTTACTCCTCGTGAAGGAGCATAGGCCGCTCACCAGCATTCTCCATCCCACACTGTCCTGGGCAATCCTTTCCAGCTCCTTCCAGTTGTAATTCATCGTTTTCATATCTGCTTCTATTATCCGACGTAATATGTTCTTTGGCCTTCCTCTTTTCCGCTTCCCTTCAGGATTCCAAGTTAGGGCTTGCCTCGTGATGCAGTTTGATGATTTGAGTAATGTATGTCCTATCCATTTCCATCGTCTTTTCCTAATTTCTTCTTCAGCACGAGGCTGGTTTGTTCTCTCCCACAGAAGGCTATTGCGCTGATGATATCCGGCCAATGGATGTTGAATATCTTGCGTAGACAACCATTTATAAATACTTGTACATTCTTGATGGTGGTTGTTGTAGTTCTCCAAGTTTCAGCTTCGTACAGTAGAACTGCCTTGACGTTGTTATTGAAGATCCTCACTTTGATATTGGTTGAAAGTTGTTCTGAGTTCCATATGCTCTTCAATTGAAGGAATGCGACCCTTGCTTTGCCAATCCTTGCCTTTACGTCTGCAACTGAACCTCCTTCATCGAGTTCCTTCAATCCTTCATGCATTACAGTAAACTTCATTTTAAAGTTATTTTCTAAATAAGCATTTCAAAATCCATGTCAAATTCACCGTTACAAAAGTGAAATATTTTGAATTCCTTAAGGTAGACATAAAGTTACAAAGTAATTAAACAGTTTAAAACGCAAGGATGTAGGGGGTATTGAAATATAATTGCTATGAGAATACCTCATAACTGTTGCATCTTCACTATATACACAGATATATGTGGAAGATATTAATGTAGGATGTTTTTCAACTTACTCATGATGAAGAGGCCAATAGAATCATAGCATTACAAAGTAGTTAATTACACTATCATGGATGGATTGTAATGGTTTAATTATCTATGAAATCACACTAACGTCGTCAGATTCAGTTGAACACTTCACTCCCAGTCGAATAAATTCAAGATTTCTGTCGTGACTTCTTGATATATATGGTAGTGTATAATAATGGCTTTAAATCACTTGAAGCTGCCAGTTTAAATTCGGTGTAATAAAACCATCAACAAACTGTTAATTATAGATATCTTCAGTGGGTAACTGGCTCACAACCGACAAATATTAGATCCACTGGTCTCTGATTCTCATTAGAACTCGAATCTAGTCACTAGATATGGAGAAATATGATATATTGGATACTTCTAATTCTGTTATCCAGTGTCAAAGTGTCTAGCGTTCAAGCAACTGTTAAAATACGAAAGCAGGAAATTCTCATTTAAATAGTTATCAAGAAATGATAATTCAATGAAGGTGTCTATTTTCTGTGATCCCATCGTTGAATTATCATGCTATCTTATCTAATTGGAATATGAGCAAGCAAACTAAGCGTTAACATAATGATTACTCATTAGTAATATAACTTGATGAAATAAATCTCATGGACACTATTAATGTTTAAGGTATGTGATGAACTTGTCTGAGATTACTTTCATCCATAGGTTATATTTGCGACTGATTGATCTCAGTACTCATTACTGAAAGAATTTCATATTAGGAAAAACTAGGTTCCTAGTATTCTTTAGTTTCCAATAGTACCCTGTTTGGTATCTATCTATCTTTGATGAATAAATCGTGAATATATTGAAATTACCTGTTGAATAAAGTTAGGTGATTCTAATATTCCTAATTAAAAGTTCTAAAATATTTTTAAGAACTGACTAATATGTTTTAACTTTCGTGTGATTCGTTTAATCATTGAACACCTCATCTCTAATGGACATTTCACCCACCAAATGCCGTACTACGGCCGAGGGTGGGGAGAGTCTGTTCTTACATGGCGACGTGCATATAACTACTGTCACCAAAGTCCTATTCACTGCATCCCTGAGAACGGGTTGTTGTTTACGAAATTGAGAGTATAAAACGCGAATGTCCGGTGTTTTCACAGAGTTGGTAGATATGAAGGGTCCACCTAGGGGAGTTGGAAAATCCTGATTCCAAATCAATGGTATACATGGGCTCGAGGATCCTAAAGGAGCAAATGGCGTTCTAATCGATTGTTGGTCACCGATTACCATGAGGGGCTCCAGGCGAAGTAAATAGAAACTAGAATCTCTGACATTTCTTGACATGATTCTTTTGCTTTACAGAATAAATGATTAGCTCTATCAAGTTAACTCAATTATATCAGGAATAGAATGCCCATATTATTTGTTAGTTTAGTTAATAATTGATTAATCTTGATAATCCGACCTTTTTCACGTGTTTTTTTGCCACTATCAATTAAGGTACACTGAGCACTACAACAGCAGACGTACTCTTCATCCCACTATTTTTTTATATCACATTTGTCAAAAGCGAAATAGTAACACTCAACTGGTTAGTTCGAATCCAACTTCCTGTAGTTCATTTTGAGAGACTGAATGGTATCAACACGAGACATATAGCTAGATTATAACTCAGAGATAAATGTATTAGTTTGTACTGGATAGATTAGTAAATCAACCAATCTTATAATATAAGACAGAATTACGTAACCAAGATAGCTTAATATAACTAATTTCAGTCAGTTAGTTACAACGTAGGACCAGGCAAATACATGCATCGATCCAAGTTGCCATACGTCATTAACACAACAAAATGAACACCGGGTTCATAAAAGTAGTTAATTCAGTTGTAATATATAAAAGAAAGATTGCAATAAGGATATAGTACAGGAAGAAAGAATTAGTTCGTAGAAAGAAAGAAATGAAGCGATTTTGATCTTATCGTTTTAGGGAAGATGAGAGTGTATACACCGACGCCATTGTGATCGATTCTGAGCCATGTCACCCACAGTCTCTAACCATTAGTTACGATAGTCACACGGACCCCAACCAAGTAGTCTACATCTCCCTACATGGCTCAGACTAGAAGTTTGTGAATTCAAGCACTGATGCCACGTTTTGGTTTGGCCTCCCCTAACTTTCTTCCAACCACCTTCAACACTGGTTAGCATTGCACGTCGTGGTAATCGGTGTTCAGGTATACATAACACGTGGCCTATCTATCTCAGTCGATGAAGATTCATTACCTCATCAACTGATTTAACATCATTCTAACCTCACTATTACTTATCCGGTGATCCCAGCAGACGCCAGCAATATTTCTAATTTACTTATGATCATTACTGAGTACGAATAAAGTTTGCTGTTTTTTTGCTTTAGCTTGTTGTTGTTCATTATATTTTTAATTCTTCTATACATACACTTAAAGATGATTCCTGGTTCGAAGCTCCATTACAATCGGAACTTGATTGTGGTAATATTATCTATTAATGCTACGTTTTTGTTTTTCGCTTCCATGCATCCCAATCAGCTGATTGCAATTTATTGTTCTATTTGATATATTTAATTGTTTCATGCTTTTCATCTTTATGCTTTTGATCATTATTGTTGTTTGTGTTAGAAATTTCGCTTGAATGTTATGATCATGCTTGACTATTATTTGCTGTCTATCTTGATGTTTCATTCTTATCTACAGTTTTCTTTTCCTTTTTTTGCTTAAAGCATGTGGTTTGACTAATTATTTTTCTAACAAACAGTTATATGTATAGTGTCTAGTGGTTTAAACACTCGCGCGCAAGACTGATAGACCTTGGATTCGAGTCTCGCAAAGCGGGATCGTGGATGCGCACTGTTGAGAAGTTCCACAATGGGATGAAATAGCCATCCAGTGCTTTTGTAGTGAACAAGAACACGAGTGGGAACAATCAAACGTATTTGTCACGAAATTGCAGAGCATCTCACTAAAATCTAAGAATCATATAGTAAATAGTTAATTTGCAAAATATCAATCCAACGTCTCAAACATGATTGTTCCTTTTGCGAATATCAGTCCATTGTCTTAGGTTTCATTGTTCATGCATTTCATATCAATTACGTTCCGTTCCTGTTCTTTCCTCATCGATCTTCTACTGAAATACATTCTATGCCTGACCACCGTTATATACTACTTATGTGGATATAAGTAACCCACACCACACTTTCAGGTTTTCTATGATGGTCTGGCTTCGATTGACTCATAAACCCAACCATTAGAATAAATATAATATCTATAAAACCCCTTCTGATACTAGTTATATGTATATTACCTTTAGAAGTTCTTTACTTGTTTGCTTATATCCTATTTGGTTGATGTGTGTAATGCGTGGGACACTTAAAATATCGATATAGATTTATTAAATCTATGTATTTATTGATTATACTTTGAATGATTAACGTTCCAAATGGAAATAAAAAAAGAATCATTATAGTTAATTGGATCTTTTTTGTGATCCATATTGTGCATAACAATAATGTGTTAGCATGAGGGATGTTTCAAATTGAATAATGATATACATTAATAATAACAAACAAATATAGGAACTTTAGTCCAATAATTTTTCAATCAATTTTGACGCTTAACACCAAGTATATTATGAAGTTTATTGTAAATACCTCTGTCATACAGATGATCAGTCTTGGTATGAATTACTCAATTGTGATAGCTCCAACTGTAGCAGTAGGTGGTCGGGCGTAGTGGTCGTCCACACATGCTCTGGTACAACTGAAAGTAGGGAGAGTCAGTTCTCCCTCTCTAAATGCTCTCACATAGCCACGTACATAAAACCACTTCCAAGGAAGTCCTTCTCACGGCGGGGTGTTTTTTTTACGAAATCGAGATGGAAAGCGAATGTCCGTCATTTTAACTGCGTTTGTGGATCCACCTAGGGGAGTTGGAAAACCTTGATTTCAAACCGATTGTCCTCATGAATTCCAGGATCCTAAAGGAACAGATGGCGTATGAACCTATTGTCGATGACCGGCTACCATAGGACTGCATCTACTAACGTTGCGAGAAGTGGCCTACTAAGAAAATCACTTGCTTCAATTCGGGCACCTGGGCAGTATCCCAGCGCATATTTATTTGGTGCCTCCTTGCACCAATGTTTATGTGTTTAGAATCTTAATCCAATGTTCTTCGTTGCCTCCTTGCATCATTTCTGATATTTGCTAAACGTTCTCTGTTACTTCAAGTGTTCCAACAATTTTACACCTGTCCAACTATGTACAATTATGTGGGACAGTTTTTTAACGTTTTCTGCTTTGCCAAAATATTTGACCTTTTCTATAAAAAAGCTTTGTGTGGCTAATTTCAGTGTGGTTTTTTTTACATAACAATTAATTCATTCAGTAAAGATGATTTTATTGGTATAATGCCATCACAAGTTCGTTTTATCAAAGATCTTATAGTTGAATTCATGAGTCAATTACAGATAAACCACCATAGAAAGACTGAACGGTCGTTTCGTTCTAGTATGAGACTCCTCAGGAGTGCTCATTCGTGACCTCGCTCGCGGGATTCCAGCCCAAGACCTTCGATCTCTCACACGAACGCTTAATCTCTAGAACACTGAGGCGGCATCATGAATTCAACTACAAATTAGTACAATCTGCACACTCCCCCCTTTCTCATAATTATCAAAGATCGTCAGTTGTCTGTTTCTCTGATTCAGTTTTCTCAATTACATATTGATGATTTTTCTGAGTAAATCGAACTTGAGATTTATCTATTTTGTATTAAATATCATTACCACTAAACTTCAGTGGTTTGTATGTTTTTTTTGTTATTTAACGTCTTGTTGAGATACTCAAAACAGTCTCTTCAAGGTTTATTTTATAGTAGTTACATTATAAACATAAATAAAATTCGATTATTTAGGTAACTTTACATCGGTTACTAATTCATTGACTGTTCATTGTAGTGACTTTTACATAAGACAATGCGAATTTTAAATGTATTTCTCTTTAAGTACTTTTAATCTGTCTATGATTGTTAGCTTTCAATTATTACTTCGATATTTCTTCCAGTAAACTCCCCAGGAGAGTCAGTACTCTCACATGACCATGCTTATACAGCCACTGTCAGGGAACTCCTACTCATGTTTTACTGAGTACAAACAATTATTGATCCATTTAAATGTCAGCTACCAAGTCACATTTTTGAATAACCCTTCAGTTTAAGGTAATCGAGTGATACTACACAAACCCCTGCATTAAGATTAAGACTTGAAGCCAATCATACAAATCTTTACTTGATGAACTAGTTAAGTTAATGTCTTATTTATCTAGTAAACATCATGGTGTCACAAATTATCAGTATAGGGTTGTGGAGATTACTAAGTTTTTTATTAAGATCATGAACCGACCATCATTGAAAACCTGAAAACACTGAACGGCCATTTCGTCCTATAGTGTTCTAACGTCAGTCGATTCATGATCTCAATCAAAAATTTAATAATCTCCACAACCCCATACTGTCAATTACCATGTGCTCATTAGTGATTAGCCTCGTGAAGGAATGCTCAGAGTTCTAGTGTGAAGCCGAGACAAGTGGAGTGAAACCATGTCGGGTAGAGATAAGTATCTACCTCAGTACAATAGAAGATGGTCGCTCAATTTCATGGATTAGTTGAGGTTAGACATTAACACCTTTGGATGCCAGCCAGCTCAGTGGTCCAGAGGTTAAATGTTCGCGCGGAAGACTGGAAGCACCAAGTTTGAAACCCACAAGCTGGATCGTGGATGTACACTGTTGTAGAGTCCCATATTAGAACGAAACGGCCGCTCAGTGCTTCCAGGTATCCCATGGTGATCTAACATTCATGATCTCAATCATATCACTGTTTCTATTCTTTCTTTTTCTTCTTTATTTCACTTTTTCGTTTTATAGGTTCTACAGAAGATCAAGAAAATACTGAATCATTAGTAGGTAATGCACAAAATTTAATGCAATCTGTTATTGAAGCATTACATATTGCTGAAGGTGCCAGTATTAAAATGCGTGTGAATAATGGACAAAAATTTATTTGGCATCCACGTATAAAATCAAATTCTTATTATCATAATAATAATAATAATAAACAATTACATTCAATTGTACGTTAATTTATAAAAGATGATATGGAATAGTGTAAATGGAATACAATATCCATTTATGAAAAGAGATATTCAATAAGAAAGATTCATTCAGTCGAGAAGAGTTCTCTTTTCAGCTGAACTAATCTTTCCTGATTTTTAACATTGAATTGTATCTTTTCTTTTTATATAATAGAAAAGTAATCTTTCATGTATTGTAAATATGTTCTTCAGTATTAATTAAGGTATATATATATATAAAACTATCGAAGAATCAAGTGCTTTACCTACCTTTGGTGTTTTCATTCTTTTCTCTTCTTTCCTTCATATATTTATCTTTTATCACTTCAGTTACTTTATCTAATATAAATAATACTATGCCATATGAATTTCATTCGTATATATCTATATTGAACTCTTTATTAATTTTTGATGGAATTTTATTCTCTGAGTTGGATAGTTTGGTCATAGAGTTTTCAGTGTTCTTCTGAACGACATCATCAGCACAAACTTCAGATAGAAGTCTGATAATGTCGTTCAAAAGAACAATGAAAGCTCCACGACCAAACTGTCCAACTTAATGAACAAAACTCCGTCAAAATCATCCACCTGAGCTACAAATCTTATCTACCAACTCTTTATTAGTGTATATTGTGCTTATATATATATATCATCTATTTGACAAATATGGATTGTTTCGTAAAATGTTTTCACTTATTTTCATCAGTCGACTTTGTGTGTATGTATGTGTGTTTCAGTGTGTAGATGAGACTGATTTCGCAATACAGTTTGATTTGAAGTTGTTGTTGTTGTTGTTAATCGTTGAAAAATTCCCATAATATTAAAACACAATTATATAAACTTCTTCAACCTTATCTATAGAGTATATGATTCTATGATGCAGTATCTTGATATAAAGTTCTTTTCTTTTTTGTTATTGCAAAGGAACAAAACTATGAAAGTTTGTATATTGATTAGTTCAAATAGTTTCTTTTTTTGTTTGTTTGTTTATGTTTCTTCTTCTTCTTCGTCTTAGTGACCTGTCTATTGTCTTTGTAAGTAATTGTGTTCTTTGTTGTTGTCTTATTCTATTATTTTACTTGTATATTTAAAGAGAATTACTTTTGTAAGTATTGTATATTAATATAAAATAAAGTGTTTCTTGAATCTTATGTCATATATTTAACCGGTAATATATATTTTACAATGTTGTTATTGTTTCCATGGCTACAATTCGATGAAAGTAAAAAAAAAATTAATTCTGTGAAATATTCTTGCATCTATTTATATTTTATCTAACTATAAACAGCTTTCTTTTCCTTTATACAATTGGCTTTTTTGTTTATTTTTATCTTTTGTTCTTGTTTTACTAATTTCTTAAAGATAAAACTAATTTTTTGAGGGGGGGGGTTAAATCATTTTTGGAAATTATTGTTGATATTAACTTGACTTATTTTGTTTTTTCTTGATATATATATATATGGTTTGTATATTGAATGGTTGTTTACTTTGCAATTTAGGCGCCAATTCATACGACAATAATATGCATAAGCTTTTTGTTTTTATTGTAATAAATTGCATGAAATTCTAATGAATAACTATAATGTGTTTTTACTAAATATCAGCTTGATTTATAGCTTTTCTAAAGTTATTGCCGGTCTTAAGCCTGAGAGAAAGAGGAAGGTTGGGCATGGAATTTGGCGACCACATCCCGTAGAAAAAAAGTCTTGCTAGAAAAAACGCCAACAAGAATACAATACGTCGAAAAATTGAAGCAGATATGAAAAGGATTTCGCGAAACATTTCTTAACTTTATAAAATACTTTCATGATGTCCAAGTTGACGAATTTAGCGCTTCTACGAAGTTAGTCAGTGAAGAGTCTTGTGAGACGCTCAAATCAGATTAACCGTCGTCAAAAACAATGGGTCGTAGTAAGTGCGTCATTACTTTACTTTTGCCGGTTATGAATAACCTAGAATGTCCACAACTTAAGTTGTAAAGTGTGAACACCATGGACGACGACAATATTACCCAAAAAGATCTAGAATACGGTTTCGATTTAATATTCCTGAATGATTTCATCATCACTTTGTTTACAGCGTGATTCCAAAGTAGAGTCGTTAAATAGATTTAATCAACGAAAGTAAAAGACAGTACATTTGTGCAGATGCCTCAGAGCGTTAGTCATTAGGTTTATGTTTTAGTATTACACTGAGTGCAGTTTAAAAAATATGTTTCCAAAGTGGCATCGTGTCCACATAGCACACCAGATTCAGGAAAGTCGTATACCGAAGTTGGCGGGAAAGTATATTAGTTATAGATAAAGCAGTGGGTAGTGAAATCAAGTTAATGTTATGTCAACATAGTGCTCGTAAGAGTAGAGGGCTGATGAAAAGTAGACAAGAAGGAACTCACATTAACTTGGTGTCAATGTTTTTTGTACTATCCCAATCGGTTTATTGGTTACAGGGGGTCGCATTTATATAGGCAAATAGCAAGCACTATATTACATATAAAGTAAATTGTTTGAAGAAGAGAATCATATTGGATCAAAGCCGTCTGTTCCATAGGGGTTCTAGTCCTAAGACATGGTTTGGGCAACTGTAGTGGATGAGCGAGCTGGTCTTAAGTATTCTATGAGCGGAATCTTGTTGTATTCCCTTCACAAGAAGGATATCGGAAAGGCGTACGTTGGAAAATAAGAGTATTCAACGACATGTTTTACATAAATCTTGTAAAGAATGATTTTAGATTCATTTTGAAGGAAGTTACGAAGTATGGAGCTAAGCAATTTCCGCAATTTAGATGGTTTGGAGGAGTTATGTTCAGGGAAGTTAAGACTGTGAGTAATTTACTATTAGTTTAGCTACTGATGTGAATTTGGACAGTATGTCCTCGTTAGAGGTTAGTTCCATTTAAGAAGACATGTATCTAACCCTCAGTGTTTATACCAGTTAATTATCTTAATGTGTTTATGTTGTATTGTTTGCATAGTAATACGCACATCGCAAATGTCAGTTCTGTATATGACGTTTGAGTCATCGGAATAAAGGTAGTTTTGATCTGTGTTAAAGCCCCTGCATATATTGTTGATTTGGATTGTAAATAGCAATGTACTCAAGACACTATCCTGACCGCGAGGTAGATGTAGCAGAGTTGATTTTTGTTATCTGGTGTCTGTTCTTGAGAAAAGAATTAATTCACTGCAATAGTGGGTTTGTTTTTCCAACTGACTTAAGTCTGTTGATTATTTCGTTACGAGTTACCTTACTAAAAGGCTTCCTCATATCGAAATACATTATAACCGTTATTTTTTTATCCTGTTTGCGAGTAACCTAGTGAAAGAAGTTTATCAGGAATATATTGCTGAACATTATTCCAATGAAGCCGTTTTGTGACTAGTCTATTAGATCTTCCCTAGGTAGGTGATCAGATAGTTGATCTTGCATCACTTTTTTCCATTATATAACTGATCTAAACGTCAAACAGACACGGGATTGGTACCTTGAACCTTGCAAAACACGACCAGAACAACCATACATTATCAGCAGTTACACACTACATCTAAATTACATGACCATTTGTATATTTGTAAGCGCCACGACTAGATTAGACCTGCAAAAGCGAATTTGAGAATAATATAGTTTTGGGATTTATCCGACCGTTAAAAAGCCCAAGACAATCTTCATTTCACATGGTCGCTTGAAAAGACAGCAATAAATTCGACCAAATAGTGATTATAAGCGACTTAATACGAGAACCATCTAAGGTCGTTACCGGTTGCCACACATCCATGACATCACAACTAACTTAAAACGTTAAACTGTTTTATCTAAAATGGACATGCTTAGGCAGGCAATTAGATTGCAATGTTTTAATAAGACACTTGCGAAACAGCTGTCATCATTCCGTACAGACTGTATACATTTTCGTACACTCCCGGTTCAATAAATGCTATGCAAAACCTTCGGAGATTCATCGATGACGTACTTATCAGTATTAACTCCATGCACATATATTTCGATTACTGCTTAACCATGTTCTGACGGAGAATCTCAACTCCAGCCTGTAAAAATGGCGTGTACATTTCCCGACAGAAATATATCATATGTTTAATCGTGACGAGACATAACCTGCGACCAGAAATTTAAGTTCCACGAACAGATAATTTAGCACTATCGTCTACTAACCTCCGTTTGTTTGAGTAGATTAGTAGGGTTTGGTATTATAGAACGAACTCCGCCTGGAGTCCCTCTGGGGGCTACTGCCGGTCCCAAGCCCGGATAAAGGAGGAGGGTTGGGCATGGGGTTAGCGTCCCCATCCCGTAGAAAAATAACTCGCTAAAAAAACGCTAACCAGAAAAAATTATTCAAACCTTTTAAACTCTGCCTTGGGAGTCAGAAGATCTTCATTTAGAAGAATTATGACGCCTCATGATGAAAGCCGAATCCCTTCGGAAGTTATGAGGCCGATGCCCCTTCTGACAACCAGAGCGACCATTTATTTAGGTACATGGAATGTTCGTACAATGTGGGACACCGGGAGAGCCTTCCAGATTGCTGCAGAAATGAGAAGATACAACCTAGAGGTACTTGGGATCAGTGAAACACATTGGACACAAGTTGGACAACAACGACTAACTACAGGAGAGCTCCTGTTATACTCCGGCCACGAAGAAGAAAATGCACCACATACACAAGGAGTTGCATTGATGCTGTCCAAACAAGCACAAAATGCACTTATAGGATGGGAATCTCATGGACCAAGGATCATCAAAGCCTCCTTCAAAACAAAGAAAGAGGGCATTTCAATGAACATCATTCAATGCTATGCGCCTACCAACGACTACAATGAAGACGCGAAAGATCAATTCTACAATAGGCTGCAGTCAATCGTCGAGAAGTGCCCAACAAAGGACCTGACCATTCTGATGGGAGATTTCAACGCCAAGGTTGGAACGGACAACACTGGATATGAAGACATCATGGGACGACACGGACTGGGAGAAAGAAACGAAAATGGTGAGAGATTTGCAAATCTATGTGCCTTCAATAAGCTGGTCATAGGCGGCACCATATTCCCACATAAACGCATACACAAAACCACATGGACTTCACCGGATCACTCTACACAAAACCAAATCGACCATATTTGCATCAACAAAACGTTCAGGAGGACTATAGAGGACGTGAGAACCAAGAGAGGAGCTGATATAGCATCAGATCATCACTTACTGGTCGCCAAGATGAAATTGAAACTCAAGAAGCACTGGACAACGGGGCAGACAGTATCACAAAAGTTCAATACGGCCTTTCTCCAGGATACTAATAAACTCAACGAATTCAAGATAGTCCTCAGCAACAAGTTCCAGGCCTTTCATAATCTACTCAATGGAGAAGGAACTACTGTGGAGAGCAACTGGAAGGGGATCAAAGAGGCAATCACTTCAACATGTCATGAGGTCCTGGGTCACAAGAAACACCACCACAAGGAATGGATCACTGTTGGTACATTGGACAAGATTCAAGAAAGGAGGAACAAGAAGGCAGAGATCAATACCAGCCGAACAAGAGCAGAAAAAGCCAAGGCACAAGCTGAATACACGGAAATAAACAAACAAGTGAAGAGGAGCATCAGAACCGACAAACGTAAATATGTGGAAGATTTAGCAACGACGGCGGAAAAGGCTGCAAGAGAAGGAAACATGAGACAATTGTATGACACGACAAAGAAACTCTCTGGAAATCGCCGCAAACCAGAACGACCAGTGAAAAGCAAGGAAGGCGAGGTAATCACCAACATTGAAGAGCAACAAAACAGGTGGATAGAACACTTCAAAGAACTCTTGAATCGACCAGCGCCACTGAACCCACCCAACATCGAAGCAGCACCCACGGACCTCCCAATTAATGTTGGCCCACCAACAATTGAAGAAATCAGCATAGCCATCAGACAAATCAAGAGTGGCAAAGCAGCAGGACCGGACAACATCCCAGCAGAGGCACTAAAAGCAGACGTAGCGGCAACTGCACGGATACTCCACATTCTCTTCAATAAGATTTGGGATGGGGAACAAGTACCAACAGACTGGAAAGAAGGACTACTGATCAAAATACCGAAGAAAGGCGATCTCAGCAAGTGTGATAACTACAGGGGCATCACTCTTCTCTCAATACCGGGAAAAGTCTTCAACAGAGTATTGTTAAACAGGATGAAGGACTGCGTAGACTCACAACTTCGTGACCAACAGGCAGGATTCCGTAAGGATAGATCGTGTACAGACCAAATCGCAACTCTACGGATCATTGTGGAACAATCAATTGAATGGAATTCATCACTCTACATCAACTTCATTGACTACGAAAAGGCATTTGATAGCGTGGACAGAACAACACTATGGAAACTTCTTCGACACTACGGCGTGCCTCAGAAGATAGTCAATATCATACAGAACTCATATGATGGATTACACTGCAAAATTGTGCATGGAGGACAGTTGACAAAGTCGTTCGAAGTGAAGACCGGTGTCAGGCAAGGTTGCTTACTCTCACCCTTTCTCTTTCTCCTGGTGATCGACTGGATCATGAAGACGTCAACGTCTGAAGGAAAGCGCGGGATACAATGGACATCTAAGATGGAGTTGGATGATCTAGACTTCGCAGACGATCTGGCCCTTCTATCCCAAACGCAACAACAGATGCAGGAGAAGACAAACAGTGTGGCAGCAGCCTCAGCAGCAGTAGGTCTCAATATACACAAAGGGAAAAGCAGGATTCTCCGATACAACACAGAATGCACCAATCCAATCACAATTGACGGAGAAGATTTGGAAGATGTAAAAACCTTTACGTATTTGGGCAGCATCATTGATGAACAGGGTGGATCTGATGCAGATGTGAGGGCGCGGATCGGCAAAGCAAGAGCAGCATATTTACAACTGAAGAACATCTGGAACTCAAAGCAACTGTCAACCAACACCAAGGTCAGGATTTTCAATACAAATGTCAAGACAGTTCTACTGTATGGGGCAGAAACCTGGAGAACTACAAAAGCCATCATCCAGAAAATACAGGTGTTTATCAACAATTGTCTACGCAAAATACTTCGGATCCATTGGCCGGACACTATTAGCAACAACGTACTGTGGGAGAGAACAAACCAGATCCCAGTGGAGGAAGAAATGAGGAAGAAGCGCTGGAAGTGGATAGGACACACATTGAGGAAAGCACCGAACTGCGTCACAAGACAAGCCCTCACATGGAATCCTGAAGGTCAAAGGAAAAGAGGAAGACCAAAGAACACATTACGCCGAGAAATGGAGATAGACATGAGAAAACTGAACAAGAATTGGATGGAACTAGAAAAGAAGGCCCAGGACAGAGTGGGTTGGAGAATGCTGGTCAGCGGCCTATGCTCCATTGGGAGTAACAGGCGTAAGTAAGTAAGTAAGTAAGTATTATAGAACGCTTGTGCAAATGATTGGCACTGAAAAGACTGCAACAACGAAAATCCAGTCAACATGTTCTTTAGTAGCGCTGAACATTATATTAGTAAAGGCCACGACAGGATTAGATTTTCACTCAAAGTCTCAAAGATTGACTGATCACATCAAAAAAGTCTACAATGTTGTGATTACGTCTATTATTAAAGTGGTATTATTACCAAACTAGATCATAATTCTGTTAGCTCACGTAAAGTAAGACGTACATCTTGCCGACTGTGGTGATAATAACATCATTAGTTTCACTTAACACACCGAAGTTGAATGCTCTCGGTCACACATCCCCATCAGGCTCTACAACTAGCCAGCTCGAACCACTTACAACATATCGATAACTCCAAATACAACTTCGAACTCCTTTATTCCTGAATTCTGTTTCGACTGTCTTTGAGGTCTTCGATCATGAAGGTTTTAGAAACAACAGCCTCGTTAAATTTTGAATATTCCTGAAATCTTACTGCTATACTATAGAAATCAACAACGATCAACTTACAAAATATTATCCGTGTTGCATTGACAAAAAAGGTGAATTATGGAAAATTCTTTCGAGTGAGTATTTTTAAACATGCAATGTTATCATTGTCACTTGACCGTCCGATTATTGATTACGCAAATAACAGAAATAATCAGCTTGGGCTTCTGTATTCAGAAATTCGGAATAAAGTTACAAGCAAAATCCGAATTTCGTGTGTACTGGCTATACAGATTTGTTTCGGTTGATTTTACTTCACTTTTCTCGAGAGAACACTGATAATAATCGACCTTCGAAAGGACGCGAGGTAGTGAGCTGTTTTTCGGCGCGTGATATATTTAACTTATTTGTAATGTCCAGTGTATGTATTTATCCTTCTTGGTCATCTTTTATACTGTTAACTTATAATATATTTTCGAAATCCCCAAGACTACGTTTTTTGTCTCCCTAGATTTTCATGTCAACTGTGTAAACCACAACTATCAGACTGATTCACGATTTAAATAATACTGCAGTACTGACATATTCCGGAACTGAAATCGGTTCTTCACAAGCGGAGAATACATCAAGCTAATTTTCTGCTGTGTATGTGAATTATGGAATATAAGGACTACGTGAAGAGCCCACTTGTAGTTTTTGATCAGGTTCATGGTACGTAACTAATTTGGTAATTGGATAATCTATTTTCAAAAAGGTGGCTCTGAAGAACATAACAAAATCGATTTCCTAGTTGAGATACAAAATGTTCTGCAGAATCATTCCTCTAAGGTTTGTTGAATATACATCTGACTTTATTACATCAGGTTCCATTATTTGGGAACGTGTCCTTAGAACAAATTCCTGATGGACATTTGGTGCGCGTTGTTGGAATGGTTCAGGATATGTTCAATGCAGAGTTGTTTATGGACTCATTTCGCCTGTCGGCAAATGACAGCACTACCAAGTCTCTTAGGTATCGGGATTTCAGCTCTTTTGAAGTAGGTTTCAAATCTTAGATTACATGTCAAATTGATATTTTAAAATAGCTTGTTTTTCATCTAGCATTCTGACCTTTGCAATACACAGCCTGTAGTTATTTCATTTGCAACTGTTTCCTATTGACCACTGGGAATTTTCTTGGAACTATATTCCAAATATGATATTAAGCCGTATGAAAGCTTAACATAAGCAAAACCGTTCTTATTTGATCCTGTATCATTTACTTGATTGTCATTTTGTCCCGTTTATCATGTAACAGCTCTTTACTAACCTTGTACTGTCTCTCTTTGGCCCAATTGACAATTCACTTCGTTGTTTACTGGTTGGGGACTCTTTTTATGTACTTACTACTTTTTCTGTTTTTCGCCTTCCACAGTAAAATGGGACGTTTTTTCTTGCTCTGCATTGTACTTAGGGTTTTAAAATTTCTATTAAGGTGATGACCAAGGGTACGGATACTACATATTGTAATGGAGTTCCGAAAGCTCCACGAGGTTTTTTATATGTCGTACACTTGGTATTCACTACCGAATTTTCTAGGAATAGTATCTCAAGTGGTCAGTTTCATGTGAAAAAACGGATAAGACATGTTAAAACCAAAATTAATCATGTATCCAAGATATTGGATATTCGATGCGATCTTAAATAAAGTCAAGTGGTCCGTTGCCCTTATAACGAAGACCAAAGACTGTGTTATCTTCATTTCTATTTGGATACACTTAATATCTAATCGTCCTTTAAACGTCCCCAGTTTTATTTGAAGGTTTCTACAGTGTATCTAAAAGATTGAGAAACGTCTAGTGATTATTCCTTTGCCTGTATATGTGGTTATGAAGTCATGGATCACGATAACTCTCGTATCCCTTTTATCTGCATTATTGGACGTAGGTGCTCCGTTTTGTTCGTTAATTCATGTCTTCAAGACGATTATTTCTGATTTCACTGTGTTTGAGACTTAATCTTGTGATATCATCCGTGAATCAAACAGTCATTGTCACCATATTCGGATCGATACCCCCACAACCTTAGCACGGTTAACACGAATAGCGGCAAATGAGTCAAATAGATATTTGTAATAATGACGATAAAAAAGCTAAGAATTAAGGCGGATAATAGATTACTCGTATATGATAAGTGTGTCTCTGGACAATACTTTAATAACGCATACTTCATCTAAATCAATTGTAACTTGCAGTCGCGTGCTTTTGGACACCACCGAGTATATATCCTAGCATTCATCCTTGATTACAAACTTCTTGATAGTTCAGTAACACTTTGTTAGAGGTCAAATAATGTGGTTTAAGATTACATGTACCTAAAACACGGTTATTTCAAGAAGGGATGAATTATAATCACGAATATTCATGTTCTTATGTAACATAGGTTAAGAAACAGTGACGTTCTGTAAGTATTCAAGTCTCCGTTATTTTTGCTGAACACAACCGTCCATACTTTAACGAAATAGTCATTTATTACGTGTGTTAATTTGTATGTGATCAATGAATTTTCCTTCGGGAAATTTATTTTGGTTAGAGCTTTGCAGTTAAGTGTCTAAATGTGGTAATTTTTACCAAGCAATATGTCTTTTATTGTCCGTTCTGAGTACGGTATAAAGTTAGTTTCAATAAATACTTGCTCAGTAACTTCATTACAATAAGCGTGAGCTAATCAAGATCAAATATATAGATTTGAACTCAGGTCAGTTTTACTATATGCTTCAGTACACTGATCATCTACTCACTTTTCTCTATAATACAACTTCAACAGTCAATGCTTGCTTTGGTAGTTAAACATTCATATAATGTTCGTGTTATTTCTTGAAAAAGCAACCTTAACCGTTTTATTTCACAGAACAGTGAAGATGTAAGTCCAATTGATGTCAAGTTTTCTGAACGCCAGTCCTTCTACATAGTACCAGTACCAGGAGAGTCTCCCTGGGTCAAGGAAATATCCTTTTTGTCTTTATATTTATAACGTTTTTTCTAGTTTAGATATATGAATCCCCATTTCAGATTTTGAGTAAGGAGAATATATCTTATTTTAGTGATTGTTACTGTTACTGAAATCATTAACTTTCGTCTGTAATCCCACGAAATTGCATTCACCAATCAGATATAAGCAACTTAAAACCTGCAACAGTACATCAGCACAGCAAGATGAAACCCGAAGTAGTAGTATCGATAATAATAGTATAACTAAAGATTGGACATAGAAAATATGAATCTTACAGAAAGGATGAATTTGCGTCGTAAAGTATATAAAATAATTTAAAAGTTGGGGTCTAAAGAGTGATGAGAAGCAAATGCATCTGAGCCATATCGCTCACTGTCTCCAACAATTTGTATTGATAATCACACAGATAGCAACTACGCAGTCTATATCTACTAACATAGGTCAGATCAAGAATCACTGACTTCATGAACCTACTCACTGCCTTCTCGTGGTGGGGGTGTTATTTACAAAAATGAGAGGACGAAAAGCGAATGTCCGGCGCTTTAACCGGATCCCAAACTGATGGTGCACATGGGCTCCAGTATCCTGCGGGAACAAACGGCGTATGAACCAATCGTTGGACACCGGCTACCATGGGACTGCATCTCCTTACGATGCTCCACTGCCTTGTGGGTAAGACCTCTAAGTCAAAGGCTCGGGGAGTGGCCCCCTAAGAAAACCACCAGCTTCGGTTTGGGCACCCGGGCAGTATCACAGCCCTCACACATATCGAATAAGATTTGTGTGGCGCATATGTATTTGGTGCCTTCTTGTTTCAATATCTATGTGTTAAAATAAATAAATAAATGAACCAAATGATGCTAAGTTTTGGTTTCATCACCTCTTGCTTCCTGTCAACATATTACTACTCCAACTAACATTGTTTGTTGAGATAGGTGATTGTTGAGCAAATACAATTCATGTCCCGATCACAGTCAGTAGTTACTCAGGTTTTTGCTAGTCGATTTAGCAATTTTGCCCAGAACCTTACATGTGAGCTCACTACTGCTCCGTTCAGTGGATGTGAGATACATTGGCAATGATTCGCTTACCATATTTTGTCTTTTATCATTTGCTTAGTGTTTGGTCTCTTTCAATGAAAATGACCAATTATATTGCCTGTTGAAGCAAAACAAACTTCGTAACTTACGCATAATTTATCTACACCTACTTTAGTTTAGACAACCGGATAATATCACTAAGCCTCGCACATAATTTATTTATTTAATCACATAAACATTGGTACAAGGAGGCACCAAATAGATATGCACCATACAAATCATTCGATTTGTGTGAGGGCTGGGATGCTGCCCGGGTGCCCAGACCGAAGCAGGTGGTTTTCTCAGGGGGCCACTCCCCGAGCCTTTAACCTAAAGGTCTGACCCACAAGGCAATGGAGCATCGTAAGGAGATGCAGTCCCATGGTAGCCGGTGTCCAACGATTGGTTCATACGCCATTTGTTCCTTCAGGATACTAAAGCCCATGTGCACCGTTGGTTTGAAATCCCGTTAAAGCTCCGGACATTCGCTTTTCATCCTCTCATTTTCGTAGACAACACCCCTGCCACGAGAAGGCAGTAAGTAGGACTTCCTTGGCAGAGGCTGTATATGCGTGGCCGTGTGAGAGCATTTCGAGAGGGAGGGAGGGCCCACCCCACTCTCGGCCATACCAGGGCATTCGGGGGCCCTCGCACATAAAATGTGGCTCAAATCTGACTATGGGAATCCGTACTCAATGAGTCGCATCATGTAAGTAGGACATGAATGTCATTAAGGAAAAGCATAACTAATCTAAATGATAGTTGGTTCCAATTTAAATTATAATTAGTTTCTTCCAGATATTTTTCTGCCATTTTTCTTGACTGTATTATCACGTTAGAGTAAAGGAAAGTGAGTATACTTCGCCAATTACAACATCAGGTCAGAAACGTCATTTAAATGAACCTACAGAAGTAATACATAAGAAGCCAAAATCCACAGGTTGGTTACTATCAATCAGTTCTGTGGTTTTTACTTTTATTCTTTTTTTAAGCGATGGAAACTAATCCGAATCAAGTGAAACCTCGTAAACATTTTCCTTTAATCGAAGAAGAGAATAATGATCAAAAAATTGGGGCTTTATTACGAGTAAGCTTTTATTCAGGATGTTTTCATGTTGAGAATTTATAAGTGTTTCATGTTCTTTTTTATCAGCTGATTCATCTCAAATTTGTAGTACACTTTTTCTTTAAACAATTGGATTGAGTTTTGTAGCCTCATTACTGATGGTCACAAGTTAAAAAGTTTAATCTACCAATTTTTTTCTAAAAGTATAAACATTAAAAGTCAACCCATTCTTGTTAGCAGATTAGGTAAATCGTAGGTTATAATTTGACTGGTTGACTATTCTCTCGTTCGAATTTGAACAAGATGATATCTAGTGTTGTTGGCTTGCGTTGGCAGTTGTCACTCCTCGGTCAACTACACCTCAAAGGGATACTTCCTAAAGTGCCTATAAAGTAAACTGGATTAGTAGTGGTCTTGGTGACCTAAGATTGTTACCGCAGAGGTCGAAGGACAATTGCTTGGAGTCGACCCTACATCAAATTTTTGTGAGTAGTTCTTGATCTGTTATCTCTTAACTTTAAAAGTGTTATCGCTGGTTACGGGAACCATTTAAAGAAAATGGGTTGTGTCGTTTCTAGGGTTAGCTTTTTTGTAATCGTCTCAGATTAATGGAAATGCTTGTTGTCTGAGGACAGTACTTTTTTGCTGTCAACAGTACGACTTCGCCCCTAAATAGTAGATGTATCTGGTAACCTACAGTACATAAAAGTGCACCTAAATTATATTTCATTATATTGATTATACATTACGAGCTTTCGAATTCTGGCTACACTAAGTTCATGTTTTTCTTATAAATTAATGATAACATCATTGTTATATTTACATTGAAGTGTGACTTAAGAAAACCGTACATTTTTTTACCACTGAAAGTATTTTCTGTATTTACGTCAAAGTATTCATATTAATATCAGAAGTGTTCTGTGGATATTATAGTAATTTCAATGGTTGAGATCATGAGTCAATTGAAGCTAGACCACGATGGAAAACCTGGAATCACTGGATGGCCACTTGATCACAATGTGATCTCTAAATTAAATAAATTAATACAATAGTGATATGCCCAGATAAATAGTACCTAGCAGTGGAATCCGAGACGCGCGTTTCGTCATATTGTGGGACTCCTCAGCAGTGCTCATTCACGACCTCGCCCCGCGAGATTCGATCCCAGGACCTGTCAGTCTTGCGCGCGAGTGCTTAACAACTGGATCACTGAGCCGACCGGCATCCAACGGTGTTAATGTCTAACTTCAACCAATCCACGAAATTGAGCGACACATCCATCAATGCCTTCAGTGAGTTACTATCTCACAACAGACCCAGTTGAACTCTAGTGGTCATGGCTTTTTACTAGAACTCCAGGAAATACCTCTTGAAACCAGTCACCAGTGATTCCTCCTTGCCTCTTTTTCCTCCTTCCAATTTTATTTCACTGTATTATGCTCTTTAAATAACATCTCCAAACCCTAATTTTCCCAATTACTGCTTATACTCTTACTACCTCTACCACTACGGGATTTGAATCGACAACTGCATCTCTGTACTAATATGGTATGGCAACTCGAACTGATGTACGTACGTACTAAGTTCTACGTTGTTACTGACTGACTGACTGCTGAAGAGTCCCACAATAGGACGAAACGGCCGTCCAGTGCTTCCAGGTTTTCCATGGTGGTCTAGCTTCAATTGAGTCATGATCTAAACTATTCATATTAAGCCGAAAATATGCTAATACAATATAAATGGACGTATTAACCTGAAAACCGTATAAATATGTAACAAATATGAACTCTTTCTTCAATACTTCATCCCTCACTGTTGTAGCATAGTAATAAAAAAAGATCCCTTCTCTGTAGGATTATTCTTTAGCAAAATCACAACACTTATACCATTTTTAACCAGTATAAAATGACAGTAGACAAAAAGGTTTAATGATTTAATTTGTCCAGGAATAGCATAAATCATCTGTTATGTTTGAAGAGATTACGAGTTCACCTAATCTGCGAACGGAACGAAGACTCAGCGACACAATGACCAACAAGCTAACTATTCCGATTTGTTGCAGCCCCGCTAACTAGAGAGAGAAGTCCAGGTTCAGAAGAGGGGAATGTATTCCACAAGCAGCCAGAGCACGAAAACACAATAATGAACACAGCTCAAGCGTATATATACAGCATAAAAATGTCCTTGGAAAACGTTACAAATATTGACAACGAACCAATAACATTTAAGGTCCTCTTTATTGGGAAATACTACATGAAGCTGAAGATCGGTGCTTTTTGTGCGAAAACAAGTAATTCAAAATTTTAAAATAGAATTACAAAAAATAAGACATTCACCAAGTGAGTTCTGGGGATCTAACATCCCCAACACCATCCAATAATATTTTAACAGCATGAATTATGATCGGAAGTAATAAAACTTCTGAGATGGTGGAAATTTGTAGCTCAGGTGGACGATTTTAATGTTTTGTTCGTTGAACTAGACGGGTTAGTCGTGAAGCTTTAATCAACCAAACCATCCATCTCAGAGAACAAAAGTCCATCATAATAAAACACCCATCTCATTAGCCAACACTTCTCACCTCTCACCATAAAACTCTAGTTATAAAATCGGCATTAACTTTCTTAAAATCTTTTTTACTTACCTAAATCATTTGTTTTTGTTTGTGATAATCATCAGGTATATGATACAGTACAAACTCAATTGAAAATCAATGATATTGTTGAAGTGTTTGGTATATTGGAACATGCACGCCTTTGTGATGCATTACCAGAAGATTCATGTGAACCAGAAGAGAAATGTAATGAACCTCTACCTCGAATACATGCTCTTATAGTTCATTCATTAACACATAATAATCCTCTTGTTTGTAATAATACTTCAATTATATCAAGTAAGTAGTATATATATTTCATGTTAAATTATTTTCTAATAAATTGATTTTAGTTAACAAGAATGTTAATGATATTCAATTGATTCGTATAAAATTAATGCAAATCCTTACTACATTATTTAATGGTGATCAAATTGTAGCTGAATATATACTTTTACATCTGATATCAACCCGGTGAGTTTTTATTTCCTTATATGTATGATTACTAAACTAAATTATTGTTGGGGAAGTTAGATCCTCAGAATTCACTTGAAAAAGGACTTAATTTTGTTATTTTATTTAGAAAATTTGAATTTCTTTGTTTTCGCGCCGAAAGCTCTCTTTTCACCTTCATGTAGTATTTCCCACTTGGGAGAATCTTAAATGCTATTGGCCCGTTGTGTCTTTTAGTTTGCTATTTTGTAACGCTTCCCAAGGACGGTTTTGTGCTGTATATATATACGTTTTGATTTGTGTCTGTTGTTATCGCTCGTGCTTTTAGCTTTTGTGGAATATACTTCCCCGCTCGGACTTCGACTTCTCTTTCTGGGCTGGGACGCAGCAGAATAGCTAGTTTATTATTCTTTGGTCACAAGTTTTTGTTCCGTTCGCAGTCTAAGTGAACTCGTAACCGCTTCAAACCTAGCAATTGTGCAAACCACTAGTCAGTTTTAATAAATGGATATACTTGTTATTTCTTAGCTTTTAATGTAGGGCTCTTAGTATACCACAATATCTTCATAGTATGTAATATTGAAACATAGTGTTAGTTGTTAATTTGGATAGCGCTATGGTGAATCAAAAGACCAGGAGTTACTACCGACCTTTGTCCATCTGATTTACAGCGTTCAAGTTTATATACTCCTAAAACTGAATTAAGTGGACTAGCTTTAAACTTGCAACAAAGTAGTTAGAAGTTGATTGTTTAGTCGTAACGCCTTATTAATATTTTTAATTGTTTTGGTATTTAATATTTAATTATTAGGTCATAGGTTAGACTTATTAAATTAAACCATTGGTTATGCTGCATAAGTCAGTCATCAACAACGTAGAACTTCGTACGTACGTACATCAGTTCAACTTGCCATACCACATTAGCACAGAGGTACAATTGCCAATTCAAATTCCATAGTGGTAGATGTAGTAAGAGTACAGACAGTGATCGGGAAGATTAGGGTTTGAGGATGCCATTCAAAGAGTATGATCCAGCGAAATAAATTCGGAAAGAGAAAAAATAGGGGAAATGAAGAATTCAGAAGATTAGAATTTGGGAGAACACAAAGAGTGGATGCATATGTGCCATTGCAAACGATTTTAAGCCATGTCATTCAAGGTCTCTAACTATCAGTTGCTATCGTCTCACCGATCCCAACCAGGTAGTCTACACCTACCAACATGACGCAGTCCACTTGTCAGTGGCTTCATGGATTTGTGCCATGTTTTGGTCTGGCCGCCCCTAGCTTTCTTCCAATCTACTCCTATACCACTGAACATCGCACGTCGAGGCAGTCGGTGGTCGGGTATACGTAACACGTATCCCAGCCATCTCAACTGATGAAGTTTCACTACTCCATCGATTGATTTCCCTTCCTTACCTAGTACCCGTTTCCTAACAACTGTGTTACTTACTCGATGGTCCCAGGATATACGAGCAATGCTTCGAAGACACCTATGATCGAATACTAGTAACCTAGGCATATCCTCTACTCTTACCGGCCATGTTTCACCTCATAATTGGTTGTTCAGTTATCAATTTACGTAGGACTACCTACCAACTTTACTAGCATTCCCCTTAAATCCTGCGTTTTAAAGTTATTGTACATCTTTTTTATGCTGTGAACTCCTTCCTTGTTGTGGAATTATATTTTCTATCCCTACTGTTTTCTCTTTTCAATAATATTACTACTTCTACTGTTCTGGTATTTGTATTGATGTGATGTGGCAACATTGACTGATGTATATATGTACTATTTTCTACATTGTGTACGACTTACCAAAGTCTAAACCACAAGCTCCACTTACATTAGTTTGGAACTTGTTTATATTATAAGTTACCATAAACCCATAACAACTCCTTTCATTTCCGTCTTAGCTTTAGAATTGATAAACAGAATTGCAATAGATTTTATTCTGATATTATGACAGTTCTTTAATAATAAAGATTAGTAAGCTCAATGGATGGGGAAAACCAAGGTCCTCAAATTCAAAACGGAGAACAGCAGTCTAATCACTCTTGATGATGAAACTCTGGAAGATGTAGAATGCTTCACATAAGCATCATCGATGAAGGTTCAGAGGTTCAGATGCAGACGTAAAGGCCAAGGATTGGCAAAGCAAAAGCCGCATTCCTACAATTGAAGAACATATGGAATTCAAAACAACTTTCAACCAATATCAAGGTGAGGATCTTCAATAACAACGTCAAGGCAGTTCTACTGTACGGAGCTGAAACTTGGAGAACTACAACAACCACCATCAAGAATGTACAAGTATTTATAAATGGTTGTCTACGCAAGATACTCAACGTTCATTGGCCGGATACCATCAGCAACAGCCTTCTGTGGGAGAGAACAAACCAGCTTCCAGCTGAAGAGGAAATTAAGAAAAGGCGATGGAAATGGATAGGACATACATTACGGAAATCATCAAACTGCATCACGAGGCAAGCCCTAACTTGGAATCCTGAAGGGAAGCGGAAAAGAGGAAGGCCAAAGAACACATTACGTCGGATAATAGAAGCAGATATGAAAAGGATGAATAACAACTGGAAGGAGCTAGAAAGGATTGCCCAGGACAGTGTTGGATGGAGAATGCTGGTGAGCGGCCTATGCTCCTTCAAGAGGAGTAACAGGCGTAAGCAAGTAAGTAAGCTCAGTAGATAGTGAAATTTACGAGATTAATGGATTTTATTTCCATAGTAGCTTTCTATTGTTTCTTTCAAAGCTAATATGTTCTCTGACTTAAACTGTTTAATCATTAACGACTCATTGTCTATTTAGACGACATCAAAAAGATTCATTCTTTGATGTATATGTAGACGATAATATCTAGGAAGACATTGTATACTTCTCAGCTCGACTATCCATCCAGCTGATAGAATATAACATCTTTCAATTCCTCATCATGAACAACAAATATTCTTCACCATTCTATTGTGTTTATGCTTATATTGTCCTTATTTTTTCCTTCTTTCTTATTACAAAATACTCTTTATTTTTCTTAGCTTAACTATAGATTCACAATATCCTAATCATTTACCAGCTATGAATGTGTATGCCAGTCGTTCCATCGCGGCAAAATCATCATCAAATAATATTGATAAGTATTTACTATCTGAACTATACAATCGTTTGCATAATTTCTTACCACAATTAGTTACACATTTAGCTACTGTAAACCTTACAATAAAATCACTTAATGATGGACCATGTTTATTCCCTATTCGTGACATGAATAAAGGTCATTTAAATCCTGGACGTTTACAGTTACCACAAGGGACTGAAGTAAGTTGTTATTTCTGTGAGTAACCATTTAATGATGACATATTTCTAATATAATTAAGGCAACCCATATTGTATGAGCATTCCATGTACCTAAATAAAAGGTTATTCTGGTTGTCAGAAGGAGCATCAGCCTCGTGACTTCCGAAGGAACTCGCGTTTCACCATGAGGTGTCATATTTCTTCTAAATGAAGATCTTCTGACTCCCAAGACAGAGTTTGAATGCTTTTTTTTCTGGCTAGCGTCTTTTTAGCAAGTTAGTTTTCTACGGGATGGAGTTGCTAACACCATATGCCCAACCTTCCTCCTTTATTCGGGCTTGGAATCGGCAGTAGCCCTAGAAGGGCTCCGTACAAAGTCATTATGACCATTACCCAAGATATTTATTCAGCTTATAACTGTCAACTATTCATTAGATTACTACCTGTATTTATTTATTTATTTATTTAAACGCTGAAACATTGATACAAGGAGGCACCACATAAATCATTCGATTTATGTGAGGGCTGCGACACTGCTCCGCTGATGCTCAAACCGAAGCAGGTGGTTTTCTTAGGGGGGGACATCCAGAGCCTTCAACCTAAAGGTCTGATCTACAAGGCAGTGGAGCAACGTCAGGAGATGCAGTCCCATGAGGGCCGGCGATCAACAATAGGTTCATACTCCATTTGTTCTTTCAGGATCCTAAAGCCCATGTGCACTATTGGTTTGTAACTAGGGTTTTTCAACTACCCTAGGTGGATTTTTCGTGTCCACCAACCCGGTTAAAGCGCCGGACATTCACTTTTCGTCCTCTCAATTTCGTAAATAACACTCTCTTCGAGAAGGCAGTGAATAGGACTTGTGTGACAGTGGTTGTATGCATGTGACCATGTGAGAGCATTTCGAGAGAAAGAGAGCTGACTCTCCCCACTCTCACCCTCACCAGGGGTTAATTGTACAGATATAACGAATAAATGAAAGACATAAGATTCATAATGTCACTTGAATGTAAATAACTAATAATAACTAACTACTGAATAATAAGTGCAATATAATAATAGAAACAAAAATACACTAGAAGGCGTGTCAAAACCATTGGAAGGATGAGAGATTGTGTGTGTTGCACTTGCACTAAGTGTTTAGGCTTGAATTGATAAGTAATTTGTCTTTTGAACTTTATTAGTTTTATTTTCTTCAACACCTTCCTCACTTTCCTTAGATACTTATCAATGAATTAGAAATGGATTCCGGTCAATTACAACAGAAAGGCTTATTAAATTTTCAAGCTTTAAGTTCTGTAGCTATTAATCAACGTTTATTATATGATTTTCAATTTTACACACAAGATTGGGATACAAATGTACGAGTACTAATTCTGTCTATTGTACCGTCGTTAATTAAAGTAAGTTTACATCATTTCATTAATCGCTCCTAGTTACGAAGTACTTAAACGCCCTAAGTATTGTAAACAGTTGAATATCTTGTTTATATGTGATCAACTTTTAAGTGTTTCTATTTGTTTAAAGATAAATGTCTTCGCGAAGTAATATCAGTTTAAGAACCTTAATAGTCCATACATATAAGATCAAACGTAGGACAATGATATCTTGTAGGAAGCACGATACCTGAGTTGAAATTCTGTTCAACGTTCTGATTGAGTGAATATTGAACACGTTCTAAACTCTTGACTCAGCTACTATGTTAGACACTGAGAAAAAGCAAACCAAAACTACTTGAAAAGCATTATTTTTAAGGCTTAAATAATGATGTAGATAACTGGTGCATGTATATATTCATGTGTATGCACTAAAGTAGACACAGACATGCAAAAGGTAACTTAGATCAGATACTTAGTTAGCTGCTTTATCAATTTTACCAATAGCATATGATCTGTCTTTCGTTGCCTGGCAATTGGCAGTGATAAATTAAAATTGCCTTTTAAAACTATCTGTTTTTAGATATACTTGAACTCCTTTAATCATGTGTTCTTATTGAAACTTACTGTGAAGAATTCTTCTGAAAGATCCTTAATAATTGACTTATGGTTATTATCTAAATATAATATAGTGTACATCATCTTTGAAGTATAATATTGTACAAGAAATAGTAATTTTACCAAGATAGTCCAATAAAACGTGCGATGTTCAGTGGTATAGGAGTAGGTTGGAAGAAAGCTAAGGGCGGCTAGATCAAAACATGGCATAAATCCATGAAGTCACTGACAAGTGGACTGAGTCATGTTGATAGGTGTAGACTACCTGGTTGGGGACCGCGAGATGATAGCAACCGATGGTTAGAGACCCTGAATGACATGGCTCAAGATCGTTTGCAATGGCGCAGGTGCATCCACTCTTTGTGTTCTCCCAAATTCTAATCTCCTTATTCCTCCTTGTCTCTTTTTTTCTCTCCCCAAATTTATTTCACTGGATTATACTCTTTAAATAACATCTCCAAACCCTAATCTTTCTGGTTACTGCTTATACTCTTATTACCTCTACCACTACGGGATTTGAATGGACACCTGCATCTCTGTACTAATGTGGTATGGCAACTCGAACTGATGTACGTACGTACGAAGTTCTACGTTGTTACTGACTGAGTCGAATCGAAATATACGAAACAGAATTTGAATTAGTAGTCTATTAGTTAGAAAAAATGTGCTTCAACCGTTAAGTCTCTATTTCATGTCTGTGAGGATTTCGTGGAAATCGGTGGTAATTCTCATCACAAATTGATGTAAGCTGGTGAATTATTTCGAAATCTCATTCTTATGTTTACAAATGAAGTACAACTTAACTATTTAGTATCCATTTGGGTTACACATTTAGGACATATCGTTTGTAATAATCTGTCTCTAATTACTATTTCGTGTTGTAGTAAACTAGTTTTAATGGTTACAGCACTCCATAATTGAATCATTATGTCTCATGTTCGAGCTCCGCGTAACTTCTATGTAATCAGGGATGCCACTTAACTTCTCTTAATACTATAGTGTTATATCCCGATGAGAATAATGAATGGTAACTTTTGGGATTCATTTATGGACCAATACTATACGTATATTTTTTTATCGTATAGTGGTTAGGCAACTAAACTAATCATATTCGTGTTCCTCTTATTATAGGCTTTATTTTGACCTATGGACCTCCCACATTCACAGCCACTTTTGGCTAAATCCTGTACAAATGTTGTTTCCTATTTTATGGTACGTTGTGGTCTGTTTGATTTGTACATAAACGAAGTATGTTTGAAATACATGATTCATATCGCAGAGGTTGAGATTTGATGTTCTGGACTCAACAGGCAGAGCTAGGCGGGAAGCAGGACTAATAAGGAATCTAGACTGCTCGTACTTGTTTTATGCGTCATTGGTCCGATTGATAATTCACTGTTCTCTAATCGGCGGTATCATTACGCCCTATATTAATAGGGCACAAAAGCACAAGTTATAACATATAGCTGTATTGAATTTACTTTTCTTCATCTTTATTACATTTGATTTCTTATCTACGTATCTGTATTTTATTTTCATAGTCTACTTTATCATTACCATGGGAACCGGAATCTTTTGACAATATAGAAAATGATGTTCATAGCAATATTTCTGAAAGTGAATTAGATGATATGCGTAAATATTTGACAGTATTATCACTTAGTAATGAAAATTATTCAATGGATTCTGAATTACAAGAGGTATGTATGTATCTATTATTGATTACCATATATTTATCCTATTTAAAAGTTTTTTAAATATGCAGTTTATGGAAACTCGCTAGTTTTTCATACATAACCATAATCATGATTCCCTTACTTTTTCTCTCTTTTCCTCGTTTCGCTATAAATTGTTATTAAACATTGCTTGATACACGTTTGTGCTAAATCAAATGCCATGATACGGCCAAGGGTGGAGAGAGTCAGCTGTTTCTCTCGAAATGCTCTCACATGGCCATATGCATACAACCAGTGCCACACAAGTCCTATTCACTGCCTTCTCGAAGAGAGTGTTATTTACGAAACTGAGAGGACGAAAAGCGAATGTCCGGTGCTTTAACCGGGTTGGTGGACACGAAAAATCCACCTAGTGTAGTTGGAAAACCCTGGTTACAAACCAGTCGTGCACATGGGCTTTAGGATCCTGAAAGAACAAATGGAGTATGAACCTATTGTTGGTCACCGGTTACTATGGGACTGTATCTCATGACGTTGCTCCACTGCATTGTAGATCAGACCTTTAGGTTGAAGGCTTTGTATGTGGCCTCCTAAGAAAACCACCGGCTTCGGTTTGAGCACCAGCGGAGCAATGTCGCAGCCCTCACACAAATCGAATGATTTATGTGGTGCGTATCTATTTGGTGCCTCCTTGTATTAGTGTTTATGTGTTTAAATAAATAAATAAATAAAGATAGTAATCTAATGAATAGTTGACAGTTATAAGCTGAATAAATATCTTGGGTAATGGTCATAATAACTTCGTCTGGAGCCCTTCTAGGGCTACTGCCGATCCCAAGCCCGAATAAAGGAGGAGGATTGGGTATGTGGTGTTAGTAACTCTATCCCTTAGAAAACTAACTCCCTAAGAAAACGCTAACCAGAAAAAAAAGCATTCATACCCAGTCTTTGGAGTCTGAAGGTCTTCATTTGGAAGAGTTATGACGCCTCATGGTGAAAGGCAAGTTCCTTCGGAATTCACGAGATTGATGCCTCTTCTGACTACTAGAGCAACCTTTTATTCAGGTACATGGAATGCTCGTACAATTTGGGAGAGTCTTCCAAATCGCTGCTGCAATGGTCATAATATTAGTTATTTCTTAATAAGAATGAATTTAAAGAATTGAAGTACATTTACTAAAAATGTCGGAATTATTGTGTAATTTATAATATGTTGATGCACTTACCGTGAGAAAGTAAATATCATTAAGTAGGTTTGACTTGATAATTCTAAATAATTATCAGTATGGGGTTGTGAAATTTGTTGAACTTTTTCGGTACTACAAAGCGATCTAAGTTTGACAACCATTGAAAACCTGTGACCACTGAACGGTCGTTTCTTCCTAATATGGGGCTTCTCAACATTGTGCATGCACGACCGTGTGAATGCGGGTATCGAACTAAAGACTTTCGGTCTTGCGCGCGAACGCCTAACCTTCAAACTACCATGCTGATATCCGACGGTATAAAAGTCTAACTTTAGCCAATCCACAATATTACGAGACCATCCTCCATTGTCTTCAATTGATCACCGAAGGTTCTTGGTTCGATTCCAGATCGTGAATATACGATTCTGAGGACTGTCATACTAGGACGAAATGGCTGTCTAGTGTTTCTAATTTTCTTATCGTTGTCTTACGAAAATCGGTTTTTCATATCAATAAAATTTCAGATAAATTGACCACTCAGCAAATAGTCGAAATTAAAAAAAAAACACAATCTATTTGTAAAAAGGCCAATGAATAGAAAATTGTATTCCTAACGTTTTGAAAGCTGGTGTAAAGTAAGTTGCTACTTCAGAGAATAAACAATCAAATTAAGTGAACACCATCTTAAATAGTACAAAGGAAACAAAACAGAATATTTTTAGTTCTCAATAGAAGTTAAAATACGCTTGATTATGCTAATGTCATTTCGGACAGTTTATTTATTTATTTATTTCAACACATAGATAATGGTACAAGGAGGCACCAAATACATATGCGCCACACAAATCTCATTCGATATGTGTGAAGGCTGTGATACTGCCCGGGTGCCCAAACCGAAGCAGGTGGTTTTCTTAGGGGGCCACTCCCCGAGCCTTTGACCTGAAGGTCTGATCCACAAGGCAGTGAAACATCGTAAGGAGATGCAGTCCGATGGTTCATACGCCATTTGTTCCTTTAGGATACTGGAGCCCATGTGCACCATTGGTTTGGTTTGGAATCCGGTTAAAGCGCCGGACATTCGCTTTTCGTCCTCTCATTTTCGTAAACAACACCCCCACCACGAGAAGGCAGTGAGTAGGACTTCCCTGGCGGAGGCTATATACGCGTGGCCATGTGAGAGCATTTCGAGAGGGAGAGCGGACTCTCCCAACTCTCGGCCGTACCAGGGCATTTGGGGGCCATTTCGGACAGTGATTGTGTAAGAACTACTTGTGTGTGTGTGTTGTTAGTGGAAGTGGGAAATGTGAAATTTCTAATTGGAAAGTGTAAAGTTAAAAAATTTTGTTTGTTTGTTAGTGGTTTGAGATGTGGACAGAATTAAATGTTTGGATACTTGGATGGACGGTTTGTCTCTCCTTTCTATTGAGCACAGTACAGTGTAGTAGTAACTAAAAACTTTCAACCACTTGCCTTTGTTTATAATTAGAAAAGTCTTTTATGTAGCTCAGATGTTTTTTGACACTTGTCATGACTGAAATATAGAATGCATCACAATCTGCACTTTGTAATCTGTAGACTCAGTCCTGTTTTGAGGTAATGGAGATAGCAATCAACCCAAGATATTTCATTCATGTTCATCTGACTCAGTGATCTTTGAGGCTCATGTGAATAAATTTAGAACCATAGAAGTTTTTCACTTAGTGGATGTGTTGAGTTGGTTGAAATGAATGTATCGGCTTAGGGTAGATGGTTAGATTTAGGCTACTTGAATTCCTTTTCACTAAACAGTCTAACCATGATTGTTCACTGTGTTCAGTTTTATTTCCGGAAGTTAATTTAATGTGGGCTGAGAAAGTATTTATCAATTTAGAAAAGTTTCTAAGATGAATATTTTTAATAATGACAAATGAGCCATGTGAACATTCGAACCAAATACACTCCGTGATGGCACTAGTAAAAGTAAGCGATGTAATATAGATTATTTTGAAGTGGCTTCAGTATACTGCTCAATTATTAAGGTAAAGCATATTGTGGAGTGTTTGTGGAATTCATCATAGGTCTTAATAGGATGGATATTTGGTAATCCACAAAAACGTGGTTTTGTTCAGCAGTTGCACGAGACGATAGCAACCGATGGTTAGAGACGTTGAATAACATGGCTTAAAATCGTTTGCAATGGCACATATGCATCCACTCTTTGTGTTCTCCCAAATTCTAATCTTCTCAACTCTTCATGTCCCCTATTTTTTCTCTTTCCGAATTTATTTCACTGGATTGTACTTCTTGAATAGCATCTTCAAACCCGAATCTTTCCGATTACTGCTTATACTCTTACTACCTCTACCACTATGGGATTCGAATTGGCAATTGTATCTCTGTGCTAATGTGGTATGGCAAGTTGAACTGATGTACGTACGTACGAAGTTCTACGTTGTTGCCGACTAACTGACTCATCATTTGCCACAAGTAGAACCTCATCCTATATGTAAAGAAATATCTCACATTTTGATGAAAAAGAAACCTCTTTTATCTATTGTTTCGGGAGAGAAATTGAGAGCTCTAAATTCATTAAAGTAGAAAAACAGTTGTAATTATAAAAGCCGATAAAAATAATATAACAGTAATCGTAAAGTAAGTCTTGATTCCAAAAAACAAATCACCAAATAGTTATAAAGAAAGCTAAATTAGAGAAAAGTTAACTTTTAAAACAACTGAAGCGTTTAAATTGAGATCATGAACCAATTAAAAACCTGGAAGCACTGGGTCTTGCGAGCGGGATCATGGATGCGCACCTCTGAGGAGTCCCATAATAGGACGAAACGGTCGTCCAGTGGTCTAACATCAATCGAGTCATAATCTCAATCAAAAATTTAACAAACCCTATAACCATATACTCATAAAGCGTTTTTATCGGCGTCTCCTTGTGGTTTATTTCATTTGCCTAATCTAATCATTCCACTCTTACCGATTCTAAACAGTGCAACACATACTCTTAAGCCAGATCAAATACTTGTAACTATATTACGTTATAGACAAGTCATCGAACTACTGCACTAAATAATCCTTGAGGGTTACAGTTTCCATTAATATATTTATCAACCATACAATAAAGGCATTTTCACCTTTCGTCTGATGTAATTTTGTTAATTTTTACATATTTACAGCGAATCAATCAAGATTTTGTTCAATGGCGCAGGGATAAGTCAACATATATAGAAGCCGATGAATTTGCAGTTATGCTGTGTTTACTCAGGTATGACATATTGAAAAATCATCCTGTTTTTATCATGATTTGTTTTGCTTGTAAACGATGAGTTCGTATTGTTAGCAATCAAAGGTTGACATTTAATTTTCTATTATGATGTATAGTGCTGTAATCAGTTGAGATGGCTGGGACACGTGTTACGTATGCCCAACGACCGACTGCCTCGACGTGCGATGTTCAGTGGTATAGGAGTAGATTGGAAGAAAGCTAGGGGCGGCCAGACCGAAACATGGCACAAATCCATAAAGTCACTGACATGTGGTCTGAGTCATGTTGATAGGTGTAGACTACCTGGTTGGGATCCGTGAGACGATAGCAACTGATAGTTAGAGACCTTGAATGACATGGCTGAAAATCGTTTGCAATGGCACATATGCATCCACTCTTTGTGTTCTCCCAAATTTTGATCTCCTTATTCCTCCTTGTCTCTTTTTTCTTCTCTCAAATTTATTTCACTGTATTATACTTTTTAAGTAACATCTCCAAACACTAATCTTCTCGATTACTGCTTATACTCTTATTACTTCGAATAAACATTTGCACCTTATGACTGGGTCATGTTGGTAGGTGTAGACTACCTGGTTGGGGACCGCGAGATGATAGCAACCGATGGCTAGAGACCCTGAATGACATGGCTCATAATCGTTTGCAATGGCGCAGGTGCATCCACTCTTTGTGTTCTCCCAAATTCTAATCTTCTGATTTCTTCATGTCCCTTTCTTTTTCTCTCCCTAAATTTATTTCACTGGATTATACTCCTTGAATAACATCTTCAAACCCTAATTTTTCTGATTACAGCTTATAATTTTACTACATCTAGCACTACGGGATTTGAATCGACCACTGCATCCCCGTGCTATTGTGGTGTGGCAACTCGAACTGATGTACGTACCTACGAAGTCCTACGTTGGTACTGACTGAATGCTGTAATCCTACTCATCCGAACAAAGTCCCTATCATTGGAATTGTCAAACTCAAGTTGATGTTTGTCTGGGCTGTCCACTTTTACTTAACTTTGTCCTAGGCATCTCATTATAGATAACACTCTTACTATCTAGCTTTTTGTGAGCTGACTTCTTTCAAGATCCACTTATTGACTTAGAATACGCAGATAATATAGTTTGATTTGATAACAACTCTGGAAAAAGTTTCCTCATTGTCTTACGCAACAATCCAAACATGTTTGGCTGTTCTCAACAATTGTAATCTAATCTAACATGATACGTAATGTCCTCCACAGTTGAAGTGGTTCTTTTTCTTCATACAAACGTTTAACTGATAGATATCAATTCCTAAATTTAATATATCCAAATGATTTTTAAAATTATTTAGATTTCATTGTCTAACTTATGGATTGCAATCTCCCACTCTTGAACATTGGTTACATATTGTTGAATTGGAATCAAAACGAAAGTCAAGAATTGCGTTGTCCAAGCTGCAAACCTCATAGTACTTAACAAGAATGCAAAAATGTAAAAAGAAGTTAGATTTAATTATTGTTCGTGTTATTTTTTGATCAATAAAGTTCCTCTGTTACTGTTTATTTATTTAAACATATAAACATTGGTACAAGAGAGGACCAAATAGATATGCGCCACATAAATCATTCGATTTGTGTGAGGGCTAATACACCGCCCAAGTGCTCAGACTGAGGCAGGTGGTTTTCTTAGAAGGCCACACCACGATCTTTGGCCTAGAAGTCTAATCCACAAGGCAGTGGAGAAACGTAAGGAGATGAAGTATCATGGTAGCCGATCACCAACGATTGGTTCATACGCTGTTGTTCCTTCCGGATTGTGGAGCCCATGTGTACCACTGATTTAGAATCAGGATTTTCCAACTCCTCTAGGTAGTACCTTCATATCCACCAATCCGGTTTAAGTGCCGGACATTCGCTTTGCGTCCTCTCGATTTTGTAAACTAGTGATGCCGCGAGAAGATAGTGAGTAGGACTTGTGTGGCAGTGGTTGTATGCACGTGGTCATGTAAGAGCATTTCGAGGGAGGGGGAGTGAACTCCCCTACCCTCAGCCGTACCAGGGCATTTGGGGGCTGAGTCACGCTTTTCAAACAAACTAGCTTAACTGTCAAACAACAAAAACTCAAGTCTCGTGGGCTAGTTACAATACGATCACCAGGATTTTGGTCAGCACGAAAGACCAGGCGTTGTATTGGTTTCTCTACACAGTTATCAGTTTGTTTAAGTCTTGATTCTCTTAGGATAAAATTCAGACTCCCTCTTTGGGTAAGCATATCCTAAAAAGATATCGAGTGTCTGTGAGGCAAATCGATAGGAATTCACCATTGGGACGAGATGTGAAAATAATTTAAGTGGACCAAAGTAACTATTCCGATCTATAATTCCTACCCTGAGAATTACGAATTATGAGACAGTAGTAATGATCTCTAACCTAAGATGATGACAATAGCAGTTTGATATCCTCCGAAATTTTATGTTATATCGTAAACTGTCGAAATAGACAACTGTCCGAACTTACTACCATCTTGAAAAACTTTCATTAAGTTGATATCTTAGGCCAGCCGGACATTTTTCCGCAAAAAGATACCCGTGTAGATGATGATCAACCTGTAAATGTACATGGGATGTGAACATCATTATTCTGATTTTGGCAATAATCCCATGCTGCAATATTGATCTTGATAGTGGCTGAGTTGACCACAACATAAGTATGAAAAAGGAAAGAATCCTTTGAATAATTAACCATCCATGCATTCGAACCATTATTTGGATCTAAGTATAAAAACAGCTTTCATATCGAGGGGTGTATAAGTCAGAACTTGTGGTTGTATGATTAGTGTATCGATTGAAGTCCACATTAAATCACCATTCCGTGTCATAAAAAGCATGCCAAATTCGTTCTCACTACTATTTTATAACGTTGTTTTTCGGCTACATTAAGATAATTGACCAAACCAAGTAGGTAAGTTCGACCAATATAAACTAAGCCACCCGGTAATGTGACACGATATACTGTCAGATTCAGTCAATAGAAGTCATTAGGATTGTTAATTTAACAATTTAGTGTGTCCAACTGTAGCGCTGAGCATTATCTAAGAGGACAACACTTCTCGATATACTAAAAAAATGGGAGCTAAGTTCATGGAACTCCCGGTAGAATTAGTTCAGTCGGTCATTTATTAATAATCAATGTAGCGCCTGGCACAAATGTGTTCACCAAAGTTGGTATTCCGCATGATAGTGAGAAAGACTATGGTTTGGAAGTATAATTCGATTAGACAGAACTGAAAGCTATGCATTGCAAAATACTGACAGTTAAAATCTAGAAACAAGCAGAATAAATGCACCTGCACTACCGTGATTGATTCCAAGCCAAATCACTCAATGTTATTAACCAAAAGACACGATAACTGTGCAGACCTCGATCAAACAATCTGCATTTACCAACTTGGCTTAAACCAGCGACCATATAGGCCGATATTATGTTTTGATTTAGCTCGGCCTAGTTTCCTTTAAAGCTTACTTCTACACCAGCTAACGTTGCTTATCGAAGTAAACAATCCTTGAACATAACGCTAACAATTATCCGTAAACACCAAGTTTTCTATACAGTGAAAATTAATGTCTGAAGACATTATATTATAATGTTGCTAAGGCAAAATGCCCATTAACTATCTTGAATATATAAAAACATGTAGTAAAATAGTTTTATTGGAATAGTGATAAAAGTTTGATTTCATATTCTGGTAACAGATCAATTGAAATTATTGGTTGTATTGCTTTCTCATATGCAATTAACAATTCTTGTCTGTGTTTCTATAGAGAGATGAATATATAAAAGAATATGGAAATACAATGGATACAAATAATATAGAATTAAAGGAATAGATATTTATGGTTCTCATTGTAAAATCCCGCTTTACCTACTCCACTGTATTATTATTATTATTATTTATTTAAACATAAATATTGGTACAAGGAGGCACCGAATAGGTATGCGACACACAAATCACTTGATTTGTATGCGGACTGTGGTACTCCCTAGGTGCCTAGACCGAAGCAGGTTGTTTTCCTTAGAGGGCCACACCCGGAGCCTTGGACCTAAAGGTCTGATCCACAAGAAAGTGGAGCAACGTCAGGAGATGCAGTCCTATGATAGACGGTGACCAACGATTGGTTCGTACGCTATTTGTTCCTTCAAGTGACTGGAGTCCATGTGCGCCATTAGTTTGGAATCAGGGTTTTCCAACTCCTGTAGGTGGACAGTTCGTCTTCACCAGGCCGGTTAAAGCACCGGACATTCGCTTTTCGTTCTCTCAATTTCGTAAACAACAGTAATGCCGCGAAAAGGCAGTGAGTAGGACTTGTGTGCTAGTGATTGTATGCTCGTGGTCATGTGAGAGCATTTCGAGAGGGAGTGGACTCCCCTACCCTCCAACGTACCTGAGCGTTTGGTGGCTAACAAATACGATATCATTGCCAGGATTTGAACCTGGGTTAGTGCGGCGGGAGCGCGGAATGCTACCATTACCCATCACACCCATAATGTGTCTCATACTTAGTAGATGATGAATGAATATATAAACATATATTACCATGTGTCTTCCGAATGCATGTGAAGTTTATCAGAAATCGAGTTTAGACCAGTTACCTACTAATATACAGATTTATTCATCTTCCTGTTAAACTGGATGAGTTTTTTTCACAGAATTATAGCAATGACCTTAGTGCTTTGAAAACATTCAATAATAAAAGTTAGTAGTTCGAAATTGAGCTTTCGTCTGTACCAAGTGGTATATACTTAACAGTCAAACAATGAGGCCTTAACAGATGTTCTCAAAAGTTGTGTATGATTGTTGGCTTGCACCAATTCATATCACAAGACTGAGTTTGCTAATCAAGGGGCATGTATTCAGTTTGGGAATTAAAAAGCTGAAGATAAATACATGTCTCGTGTATTCTTAATTTTTGAAATGATTGTAGAGAATTTTCTTTAAAATCAGATTTACCAGTGAGCACTTAGGGTTCTTTGGCTTCAGAAATCGGATGTGGGTTTCGACGTTACCCCTAACAGTGTTTACTGACGACGTGAATTTACTGGATACTAAATGCTCTGCACAATAATTACAGTTTTTGCATGAGAGTCCTTACGATTGCAAATAAAATGTATACTGAGGGGAATTTTAAATAGAAATTTGTCTGACCGATGCATCAGGTTACCTGGGGTTAATAATAACGTGGAAATTTTATTATTCCGATATCCTTGATCTGAATATTTTTATCATTATACATCAGTTAGTAAACTAGTCACGTTATATTATATACCGTTCCAACAATTTTCAGAATCCTTGTATCTTATTATTCAAGCAAAAAGAACACAATAAAGTAGGTTGATACATACCCTATATTACATATTTTATAAAAAGTGCTCGTATATTACTCATATTTGATTATAGATACCGTCAAAGTATTACTAGCAATCCTCAGGTTAAATACATGGAATTGGATTAGGATAGCAATTTACTTGATGAAGTAGTGGATATTTATCAACTGTAGTGGTCCGAAAATGTAGCACGTAAGTTCAACAACTTACTTTGACGTGGGATATTGACCAGATAAGGAATAGGTTGGAAGACTAATGACGGCTAAACCAAAACATGGCATAAGACGGTCTATGAATTCATTGACTATTGGACTGAACCATATTAATAGACGCAGATTCCTTGGCTGAGTTTAGCGCGATTATTGTAACCACTGGAGACCATTGGAGACATTAGGTAACATGACAGAATAAATCGCAACAGTATAGACGCATTCGTTGTTTTCCCTTAGGTCTTGAGTTTCTAAATAATTTTAAACATTTAATCCCGTGAAGTTAATCATTCTTCTCTTTGAATTATATTGTTTATGTTCCCATATTTTCTATTACCAAAGGTGATTTTACTCCTTTTATTATTCTGATAAACCGCCTTAATGATTTTATCTCGCTGTGTTGACATTGTGTACAATTTGAACCGATACACATATGCATCAATTTCTTTGTTACTTATGAGTGATTGATTCATAATCAGGTGTTTCTCAAGAAATACACATTACTGAAGTTTCGTCGTCACTTCAAAAGTATTGCATTTAGAAAGAAAATCAGAGTATATGGCAGAGTACTGTAAACCATTCTACTAGACGACTATCTTTGGCTCTGGTAGACATAATATCATACAAATCATAAATTGTCAAGAATTATTTCAAAAAGTATAATTATCACATGCATACCTTGGCAACTGATGCTAATTCATTATTAACTTCTTCATTCATAGACTCTGATATTATAATTTGAAGACTGGTAGTAACACTATTATTCTCATCATCTGGAGGATTAGGCGTTGATTTACATGCATGTTGATGAAATTCCGATTTGATTGTCTCAGCATTTGGTAAAGTTCCATCATTGATTGGTGCATTTATACATTTTTTATTATTTTCACTACGCACATTTAACACCTAAATTTTTAAAAAGTGCATCATAAGGAAAATGTTATATTTGGTAATTTTATAATACCAATCGTGACTCTCCCTGATGCGATAAGTGTTAACGGAAAAACTGTTAATATAACTCATTTAGCAAGTAAGTGTGAGTACTCTGCTATGAGCTGCATTGTGTTGTGCAATACTGTAGAACAAGGCAATTGGCAGAAGTAATCAATGTTTAGTGTGAGAGATTGCAATGTACTTACATAATTCATAAACATAGCCGAAAGTCATCCGTTTGGATCTTGCGATGTGTTCTACAATGCAAATTGTCTCCGCTTCTGATCTTTAAGTGTTTTGTCTACGCCGTACTTTGGATGTACAGAAATCCTTTCCTCCGTCTGACTGGCAGCTCCGAGGTCAGATTCTACTTCATACTACTTGTGAGTAGCGTCCACCACAAAACCACAAGTGGGGCAGATTTTAGAAAGGTAGACAAGTGATTAAATGTCATATATTTTGATGATTGTCTGGCCTTATACCACGTGCATAAAAAGAAACCGATAGATTCTATTATTCAAAGATTAATAACAACACTTGTTTCATAGTATTTTGATCGTCAAACCAAAATTAATGAGCAAACAGAAAGAGGACATAACTAGATGTAACCTCTTGGCCCTGATTTTCGCTACATGTGTTATTTATTTGTATGAAATTAGTTAAACCGTACCAGTATGTTGATTATGATGCTTAAGTAGAAGTTGGCACGATTCGGACCAAAAAATCAAACCAAAACGGTGCTAACAATCCGATATTAGTGCTATCATCACAGTTCTCAACATCATCGTTTATAGTTAGGTAACACACGGGAGGATCGTAAGATACTTTATAGCTAGAAATTTAGCCGATATTGGACACATGGTTTATTTATAAACAGTTTCAACAGTTAATAGTAATGTTTCAACCAAATTAGACAAGTCCATTTTTGTATTAGTTGCTTGAATCGTCCGATTGATGTTTATGACTACTAGCCACCATCATCTTAAATTAAGTAAGTTTAAAATGTGTTAGGAAGTTTGTGAAGTTCATTTTTTCACTCCAACATTGTGTTTAATAAAAGATAACTTATCCGTATGAATTCGGTCATTTTTATATAATCAGTATTAATTACTGACCGATCTTTCATTTCTAGAGTCATTCAGTTTATCGATTATATGCAACGCAGAACCTGACACATTTGTATCAGTTCAAGTTGCCACACCACATTGGTACATGGATAAAATTATCAAGACAAATGCCAGAGCAGTAGACTTAGTAACAGTATCAATGGTAGTCGAAAAGATTTGATGTAGAAAAAAAGATTTCGAGATAGGTTTTAATATAAGACAAAGAGTGAATGCATCTGCATCATTGTGAAAGATTTTTAGCCATATCATCCAAAGTCTTTAGCCACTGGTCTGAAAACTCCCGCAAACTCTAGACAAGTAGTCTGTACCTTTTTACATGGCTTAGCCCAGTTTCCAACGTCTTCATAGGCAGGTATCACTTCTTGGCTTGTAGATTTCCAAGTGACATGTAGAAAACTAGACTAGGCTTCTGCTATGGATGATTTTAATTAGTGGCTTTCCAAATGTTAAAACCAATGATTAGAATGCTGAGCAACAGGTGGACCCAATGACATAAATGTAACCAAATGACGGCTACCCACGAGACCGTATAGTTGACTTGAACTCCCGACTGATTATAAATCAAGACCACTACCCAGATGAATGAATTTTTCGTGTGATAAAATGCGATGCGTATACACAGAATGTGAGCACAAATAAACATGATCGAATATAATAGGCGATTGAAAGAAATCAGCCTATAGATCACTCACTACCCAATCAATTACAACCTGACTGTTAGGCATAAACTTTTAGGACTGTATCTGCTTCATAAGAACCTAAATAAAATTGCATTTAAGTTTTTGTAGCTTTCAAAAGCATATAAAAATCAGAAACAAAAAGAATTTAAATGAAATCAAGGTTGTTTTATGATACATAGTCTGAGATAATTTACATAAAGAACGGGTCAATCGATATTCTCAAAAATATTAATCAACAAACCCAACCATTAGTATCAGATTTCCTAAGAACATAATACAACTGAATCTCAGCTACCCTTTATTTTTGTCTGGCTGTGCAAGTACCAAATATATCACTAAGTTCTACACAGCAAACTATAACATTGAACGACACAACTCACCTCAATTGAAGAAAGTTGTAAGGATTCCTGAGAATGTAAGCAATTAGATTCTGATAAAATTCGAGAACACAAGTTCACATGAGATCTATTATGTTTTGGCTGAGTAAATGATGGTTTCGGTCGTTCCTCAGCTTGTAAAATCTTTGGCTGTATACGAGGAGTAATACGAAATAATCCAGCTAAGAAATTGGGACCGTTTAAAATCAGTTCACGATTTAATGATTTTTCAATATTGATAACACAGTCCATGACCTTCAGGGAATGGCAGCAATTTTCCTTATCTGGACAATTCTTTATATGTACTCGACTAACCATTATTGTGTACTACTAAAAAGGAAAACAAAGTTACTAAATATGTGACTACAAGGAATTATCTAGTTCCTCCATAAATTATAGTTTCACCTGCAAAGTCTGATAGAGTTTGACACCGTTAGTTAATGTTCAATTAAAACGGTCCACTGAAGAGACCGTGATTAAAGCAGATATGTAGTTAGTGAGGATTTGATACGTGATGATAAAAAAATGGAATCGTAACTGGGTGTTCGCTCGTTAAGAAGAAATCTTTTCAAGATATCATTGTGGATTACCAAAGGGGCAGAATAGTTGGGTTACTTTTGTGGAATGTATAGGTGACTTAAGAACTTGTTGAAAGTAGTGAGATAAGCTACCTTCTTTCTCTATATTCAAACAGAAAGTACTAACTCGAGCAATCGTGCATTTCGCATCCTAAACGTACAACCCCTTTTATTATGTCCGCAAAATATTTCCACTTTAGAAAAATGATATTGCTGCCCCCTTACCAGCACTACTTGACTCGGGAATCAATACTTATCACTAGCTAGGAAGTGGGCGTTAAAAACAAAATGGTTTACATAAGTTTTATTAAGACGTTTCTATCATTATTCTTGTTCCAAAAATAAACATTTAAAAATGTCATCAGTCAAAGGTGTCTCTAACTCAACTATCACCAAAAATGTAGTAATTAATTACCATATGCGTAAGCTTATTAGAAGTGTTTCCTGATACATCCATGATGTAAACTCGCGAGGACCGAGTAAAATAAGAATCGAAAAATAAAGGCGAACCCTCGAAAAATGTATGTGACATTGCAAACTAAGTTGTTTAAACAACTTAGTTATCGCAAATTGGTATCTTTTGAGCTTACACTTTCACAGAAATGTCTATTTTCAGTCTGGCTTCATAGAAACTTCAAGCATCGCCTACACTCATGACGTACGGTTAGCCTTTGCTCTGAATAAGTCGGAAATTAAACTTTATTTCATAATAAATATTAACATCAATCTTCGAGGACTGGAAAAGAAGACAAGAAAAGGTGAGTCGATGACCCAGTTAGCGCACGTGATGCACTCACTGTTATTTAAGAAAATAATAAGCAACAACCAGTGATAACAGAAGTCTCAGATTATGGCAATCTTGAAAACCATTGAAACAGTGACAAGAAACTGCTAAATAGATACTGAGACATACAAACAAAATCCTAGACATGTACAAGTGTGAAATATTAAGAAATATGCTCAAGAGAAATTTGAAGATAGAAATACAAGCTCTCTACAGAGCAATTCAACATTTAAGTTTCCAAAGTTTTATGAAGATATGCAAAACAAAGTTACTCAGGTTTTTAACCAAATATTCCCAGTTAACCTTATTACCTATTTCATTTAATTTTTCGAGCATGTAAACGCATTGTAACTGATATCGAATTCCTTCAGTGACTTGTACTAATTCTCGAACGTGGCTTTAATGCATATGAATAGATTTTTAAGACTCATTCATACAAACAGCTATTAGTGTCTTATGGAGACTGTTTTGATATTGGTCTGAGAGAAACTTTGTAATCTCATAAATCTGACCTTCATTATTCTGCTCTGACGCTTATGAAACGCCGAGGTCATCCATTTAAATATATAAAGTGGATCCAGTGCATGAAATGTATTTGGAAGCCGAACAAATTGTATGAAATAATTCTTCAAATATCGTTTCCACCTTCACTTGATTCGTTTCTTTCCAGTCCTGTAAGCCTGTGTCAAACTTCATATACTCGCAATAAGTCTATGGTTCCTTCGAAGTTAATTTGGACTCGAAATGTCCCAGATTTTTACAGTGGGGTAAGAATCAGGCATATATGTTTGACTGTAGGATTGAGTTCTCCTACAGATGGCTCATTAGTATATATTCTTGAATCAGCCGCTTCGGGTTTCCGCTGGTTAATCATGCTTAATCTCGCTGGTTGTTTTTGGCCATCGATGAATTGCAGATTATGTATATGAACATAAATTAGTGAATAAAACACTTTTAAAGACGTTTTGTAATCCATCATTTCTACTTGGTAATTGTGCTATTTATTTCCACTGCAGTGAGTTATGTAATAGTTAACCGGATGTAAAATTCATCGCATAAACAGCTGTCCTCAACCTCATTCGCAATGATGCAAATGGTGCTTCTATGTAAACTTCATTAACCTTTAGATACAGCAAGCGTATATCAGTAGATTATATGGGATTCTGAAGTCAAAGCATGTTGATGTGTTTGAAGAGATGACTAGTTTGCCTAATCTGCGAACGGAATGAAGACTCAGTGACACAATGACTAATAAGCTAACGATTCCGATACGTCTCAGCCCCGCTAATTATAGAGAGAAGTCTAGGTTCAGAAGAGGGAAATGTATTCCACAAGCAACCAGAAGCACGAGCAACTTTTGGGTTGCGGTCTACTATGATATTAGTACTGCTCTAATAATAGAGCTAGTCCTCAAATTGTAGATCTGTCATGATTTTTTATTCAAACTCACAGTAAATTTCTAGCATTTGTATCTTCTGTTTGGTCATGGAGCTCAGCAATTAGAAATTGGTCAGGCAGTGGTCGGAAGAAAAGATATTACACGATAGATTAAAATGTTCAGTGAAGAAGCAGTATAAAGAGTTGGGTCCAGATAAATATTTAATCTTTGCATACGTTGCTGGTCAGTGTATATTTACATTATTTACAGGTCATATTTGATAAAACTTGATGCTTTAACAAGTTTATTTCTAAGAAGCATGTAAATGTTATTAAAGATTGCTAACGAACCATCAAAGCTAATAATTAATATGAATAACCAGTATTTATTATCGATTGAGCTAGTAAGTTATGAGTACCAATTAATGTAACATTATGATAATACATGTGAGCATTATTCAGAATAATGGGTTTACGTAAGTAAAAATCGATCCAGAAAGTAAAATTGGAAATAAGGATTAATAGTAATAGGTCGCGTCTCTCTAGTCGGGCTTATCAGTGTAGAATTATGGTCTACTATGATATTAGTACTGCTCTTATAATGTGTATTGGCATTGGGCCCTAACCACACAATCATCAAAGCTGAACATGAGACAATTGAGGAAATTAATGTTCAAGATTTGACATGGAGAAAAACCCAACGATGGAGAAGGTAGGAACAATGAGTTGAAGTAATTCGGGTTGGTCGTATGGCATCGCTTGGCCTTGCAGGCGTAGTTTTATATGACATTTTTATCCATATTAAATATACTGTTCTATCTCTAATCTAGGTGTGTTCTTAGCTTTATATTGATGGTTGAATCAGGGTAGACAATGGTGTAACTTCCACGTAAGATATTATAGATTAGGCAGTTACATCATAACAAATCTACGATTTTGGCATTACTGATAGCGAAGTAGACCATAATTCTGCAAATAGACCAAATCCTAAAATTGTGGATCTGTCATGATATAACTGCCTAATCTCCAAGATCTCACATAGAAGTCACATCATCATCCTCTACACCAACTCATTGCATCGTAACAATTACCAACACATGATGGAGAACAAGCATAGGCTAGAGATAGAACAATATATTTAATATACATAAAAGATATGAGGTAACATTCGACATGGGCCGTGCCCGCGATGCCGAGCGATGCCATCCGAACAACTCGGGTCAACTCAGTCCATTGTTCCCGCCTTCTCCATTGTTGAGGTATCCTCCGCGTTAAATCTTGAAAATCTATTGACCCAATTGTCTCGTGTCCAGCTTTGAGGATTGTGTAGTTAAGGCCCGATGCCGCTACACAGCAACCAAAATCATAGCTCGAGCGTGTATATATATACAACATAAAAATGTCCTTGGGAAACGTTACAAAAGAACGTGTTAAAAGAAATAATTAACCAATGACATACAGTCAGATTTAAAAGAGCAGGTCTCGGTTTTTTGCGTGGAACTTAATCACAAATATGGCTAGCTATCATTTCGGCATTATAGCTGATATCATTTTGTGATGAAGTCATCGAATAAAGACTTGTTAACCAAGTCGTTCATTAAGTCTGCGTGATCAACGTCATCGTATTCAATGAAGTTTGATGTGCTGAACAGTAAAAAAAGAGCAGCTTTAAATAGCAGGTTTATGAAGTTGCTTAGTAGGTCATATAGCCAATACGCTCGCATTAAAAACGGATTATCTGATAAGTGTGTAGCGTGGCGTCGAGTCGAGATTGACTATGAACACCGCTACAGAGAAACACGCGCCAAATAAATCCATAAAATCCCCAGGAAACCAAATATCAGAAGGCAGCCAATGGATCAAGTCGAGATATATTTGCTGGCGATCTCGTGGTATCGAAAGAATACGGAGATCGTGCCAGGATACAAACTTGGTTACAGAACGTAACCGAATTCGCGCGAGGTCACAATCAACGTGTAAGAATAATGAATGTTTTTGGCACAGTTACAGGTACAATTGGTCATAATAATAGTAATAATAATAATTGTTTTCATTTAACCAATCGTGTTCTCGCGATAAAAGTGAGTCACCACATGTGTAACTTAACGCAGCTCTTTCCACGAATTTTCGGAAAACTATATAGACCGACTTTTTGCTGTCATGAAAGCAATGTGAAATTCCAAAATAAAAATCCATCCATTTGTATTCCTAAACTATATTCTTATCTTTCACAGGTCACTTCATTCCCTTCTAATTAATACCGTTAGCCAAAAACATTTGGGGGTCGAACCGACGCTTACGGGCGGAAAGTTTGGTTTCATTTTTCAAAAGATATTATTGAGGATTCAAAGGTACAGTCACGTTTTGTTGTAGAGTATGTTATTTTAAACCAGTTAAACTATTGAGTGCATCGTGCCAAGCAGGGCTTTTAAAGGTATTTTACTATTTTTCGAAAAGTTTTGCCATAGTAATGGTACAGCACAAAGTTTGTGTTCTAGTGTACTTTTCATCTGCGAATGACTCGAAGAAGCTCAATATTGGATAACCGACCAAACCCAAATTTTTTATATCGTATTCTGCATTCAGGTGTGGTATTGAAGTTTA